GTGCGCGCCGCCCACGAGGCCTTCTGCAGCTGGCGGGGGGTCTCGGCCAAGGTGAGCGCGCTGGGCGGGAGCCGACAGGCCCGGCCCCCGAGCACGCTGCGCGGGGTCGGACAGAGCGAATGCGGCAAATCTGGAGCGTCGGCCGGGCCTGCCATGGCCCCGCAGGCCTCAGGTGCACTGGCCGGAGCAGGGCACGTGTTTCGAGGAGAGCGGCGTGAGCGCCACCCGGCCTGACCTGGCGCGAGGGTGACAGTGCAGGGAAGGGGGTCGTGTCCGAACTGGGAGGGAGCAGCTGTGCGCCCTTGCAGGGGAAGGGATTGGCCCAGACCGTCGCCTAGGTTTTGACCTGTAGGGATAGATAATGCTGCCCTTTACTGACTTTGGGGAAAAGGGAGAAATGGGGGTGGGGCCTGCAGAGGCGAGGACCGAAAAGCGACCTGGAGTAACCTAGTGAAACTGGCGTCCCCAGCCTTCAGAGCCGCTTTCTGAGCTATGTAGCGGTGATCAGGTGTCAGAGTCCTGACCGTCATCCCCCCCCCCCCGCACATGTGCGCTGTGCACCTACTGTACCCCGTGCACTGTCGGGGTGCTCGGGATTCTGTCCTTAGAGATCCCATACGGGTGGAGCAGGGCAGGGGAAAGACCCAGACTACAAGCAGCAAGCATGGCGCCTAGGCAGACAGGCATGTGGGAGGTGGTGGGCTCTGAGCGGAGAGGCAGGGAAAGGGGGTCAGGGACAGAGGCAAGGGTGAGGTGCTATCTAAAGAGTGTGGTCAGGTACAGTTGGCTAGTGCCACAGCAAAGAGCCACAGACAGAGTGCCATGAAATACAGAAGTCTGTTTTCCCAAAGTTCAGAGGGTGGAAGTCTGAGGTCAGGGTGTGCTGGGGTTGGTTTCCCTGAGGCCTGTTGTTGGCTTGTGGCTGACGGTCATCTCTGTGCATATCTGTGCCCCAATCTCTTTCTGTAAGGACACCAGTCCTTATTGGATTAAGGCCCACCGCAATGACTCCTTAACTTACCTCTTTTATAGGCCTTACCCCAAATATCCTCCCATTATCTCACATATACTCAGGATAGGAGTTAGGACTTCAGTAAGTCAATCTGGGAGGGGACAGTTTTTAGCTGGTACCATCAAGGTGGGCCTCGCTGAGGATGAGAGGTCCAAAGACCAGGGATTCAGCTCAAGTGGAAGTCAGGAGTATGGCTGTTGAGTTTACAGGAGTGCAGGGAGGCCAGTGCGGCCCAAGCAGACAGAGCATAGGGAAAGAGGAAGGAAGTCATACAGGTGGGGGCTGTGTTGTTTCTTGGTATATGGGCTGTCCACAACCAGGCCCCTGGTAAGAGCCTAGTGGCAGATGGCGTCATGGTGGAGCATGTGTGGAAACGAGAGATCACACCTCAAGACAGGAAGCCAGATAGTCGCTCACTGTCATAGGAACTCATTCCCTCAAGAACTAACTCAGGGCCCCAAGAGAATGACTTACTCCCTCCCATGCCCCCCCCATGACTTAAAAACTGGCGCCTTCTCACATGGCCGTCCTGGGGACCAGGCCTCCCATACAGGAGCCCTGGTGGAGAAGCAGCATTAAACCATACACAGGAGCGGGCTGGGATTTAGGTGGGACTTGTGGCTTAAAAGACATGGTGGAGTGGTGAGGAGGGATCCCATAATGGATATGTTTTACAGGTAGAACCAGCTGTATTCCTCAGGGGATTATTGTGGAGTGTGAAACAGAGGAGACAGCGACAACCCAGGACCTCTGGCCTGAGTTGCCGGAAGGATGGCGCCAAGATGGGGAGAGGTGGGGGTGGAGCCACACTGGGTGACATTGGAGTCAGCAGCGGCCTCAGAGTTGTCCTAAACACATACGTGTGACAGTAGAAAGGCAGCGGTGGGCTATGTGAGCTGGAGTTTGGAGGGGAGATGATGTCATGCACATGTGTGTCACGTGTGTCCTCACAGCTGTGGATGGGGTGAGGAACCCCAGGAAGGAGAAGCTCGGGCCTCACTTGGGTCTCTGGCATTATTTCATGGGCTCACAAGGGCTCACAAGGATCAAGCTGCTCCACAATGATCTCAAAGCGCAGGGGCACAGGGAGCTCCCCACTCTTGTCACTAATGGAGTGGTGGCCCCAAGGCTGGTGCCGAGGCCCTCACAGATAGCGGCAGTGTCACCTTGTATTCCCATCCTGATGTCTGTGCCCTTGAACACTAGCACGGTGTCAGTTTCCATCATACCAGAGCCAGGATCTTCTCAGGAAAGCTTCCTTCTTGAAAGTAGGGGCTCTTGGATCCTGGGTCATCATACTAAGGGATGGTGCCATCAGCTCCCCGAGGGTCCTGCACAGGTGGGAGATGGTGGAGCTGTAGGCAGTGACATGGCGGATGCCGAGGAAGGCCGCTCTTGAGTCCCCTGGTTTTTTGCCTCTAGGGCTCCAGTGTCTTTCTTGTGTCTGTTTTCCTTTCACTTCTCTAAGTGCATTCGCAGCCCACCTGCTCCTGCAGGCCGCCCCGGGGAAGAGAGTGAAGCTCAGTCTGCCACAGACAGAACAGCCCTGACAAAGGGTGTTTCATTTTCGTAGGGTCTCAAGGGGGCATCAGTAATTTTCCTCGAAAGTCACAGGAGTCTCAGATGGTTTAGCTGCTGTGCAGGTGTGAGTTTGAGTGCCACCCAGAGTGAACCGTGCGGTGTCCCCACTCTGGGAGGAGGTTTTATTATGGAAACGTAGTCAGGGTCAGGTCCATGCCCATCTCTGCTTGCACGGGTATCATCTGGTAAACCCACTGGCTCAAGGATGCAGCAGCTCGCTTGCTGAATTCACACCCTGGTTCATTTCTCAGCTCTGACTGCCAAGGGTGGCAGCTGCTTCTTTCCTCTTAGGCCTCCACTTCCAAGTCCTGCCAGCCCCTGTCTGTCTCACAATGACACCAGTCACACTGGATCAAGACCCATGCTAGGGACCTCATTTTATCCTGGATGCCTCTCTTAGGACCCTGTCTCCAGCTAAGGTCCCATTCTGCAACACTGGTGGTGGGGGTGAGATTTGGAGGCTTTACCCCAACATTTCTCTGGAAGTGGAGAAATGTGTCTTGGTAGCCTGACCCCAGGGAAGGGAGGTACAGTAGTTGAAGGAAGTGCGCATATGGGGGTCTCTGCTCGTAAGTGGAGAAGGCAGTCATGGAAGTCTTAGACCTCTGAATGAATGAGGCTGTCAGAAGGACAGGCCACCTTTACTTCCTGGGGTGGTCGGTCCTGGGGCCGGTGAGAGGATGCCTTAGGCATGGCTCTGTGTTGCCTTTTTGGCCTGGTGTGTCCAGCTATCTTCCAAGTGGGTATTTATATAAATGACATTTATTTATTTATGCAGGACTAGACTTTGAACCCAGGGCCTTCTCACTAAGTTACATTCCCCTTTCTTTTGAGACAGGATCTCACTAAGTCAGTAAGTTGCCCAGGCTGGGCTTAGACTTACAATCCTCCTGCCTCAGGATCCTGGAGTACTGGGATTACAGGAGGATGCCACCAGGCCAAGCTAAAAATGAATTCTTTTCTAAATGTTTAAATTTTAGAAGCTACTTCTGTTGATTTTTAATAATCCAAATTATTCCTTCAGGTATTTTTCATTCTTTGGAAAAATTTTTAATTGTGGTAAAATATACGTGTAATTTACTGTTTTATCCGTTTGTAAGCACTCCTACAGTGCCATGGCATTAAATGCATTCACGGTTCTCCAGAGCAGCAGGACCAAGAGGATACATAGAGATGTATGGGAAGAAGTTTATTCAGAGGGATTGGTTCACGAAATTAGGGAGGCTGAGAACTCCCACGATCAGCCATCTGTAAGCTGAAGGCCCAGGAATCCTGAGAAGTTCCAGCTAGTGTCTGAAAGCCTGAGAACTAGGAGGGCCACCCAAGGGCAGGGGAAAGGATGCTCAAGCAGGGAGCAAATTTACCTTTCCTTTGCCTTCTTGTTCCATTCAGGCCCTTAATGCATTGAATGATGCCACCTGCCTTGGTGAGTGTGAATTTCTGTACCGTCTAACAGTTGAAATGCTGCTGGGTGTGGTGGTGCGTATCTGTAATCCCAGCACTCGGGAGGCTGAGGCAGGAGGATCATTTCGAGTTCAAGACCAGCCTGGGATACAAAGTGAACTCAAGCCAACCTGAACTGCATAGCGAGACCCTGTCTCAAAAAGACCAAAAAGAAATGTTGATCTCCTGGAAAAAACACTCACAGACATACCCGCCCCCCGCCCCCCCGCAAGTTCCTCCAAATTCTACCAGCTATCTAGGCATTCCATGGCCCGGTGAAATTGACACCTAAAATTATCCCAAGAATGAGACCACAGAGCAATACTTTAGGAAACAGATTATGGAATAGTCTGTCTTACATTTCAAATCTCATTACTTCTCTGCTTTTGTTTTGTGGTTTTTAGGAGAGGAGTTCCTTACTTCGAAAGTGGTATGAATTAATGATGCAAAATAAGGATGACCTTGCCAAAATTATCACAGCCGAGAGTGTAAGTTCCGGATCTTTGCTTGCTACCCTGAGACAGTTTCCCAGTATTTTCAGTGTTGTTCTGTAGCTAAAGAGTGTGTGAATCCTTGTATGATGGTCAGATACCAAATCATTGTTGTGCCAGGTAGTCACAATTGCTAAAATGCAATTTGTATGTTCATTCTTAACTAACATGCAAAAATAGATTGTGTTTGGAATTGTATGAATACTGCCTTTCACCATCCCAGCTGTCTTCCCTGTGGCTGTTTTGATCTCTCATATTGCTTTTGTACATGTCAAAGTGCACCCACAGTTCCTGCATAGTTACAACAAATGATTTTAAACCATACCTCAACATTTAGATCTTAGAAGGAGGAGAAAGAAAATGAAAAGATGAAGTGCTAGGTGTCCCCCTAACTTGTGAACACACTGGGAATGCAGTGACTCGGTGACTCAGGTGATACAGCCAGCCATACTCATCTCCATCACTTTGTAATTCTGCTTTCTAAAACCTGTGACTAAGCTCCAGCAGCCCTGTGAGCTCTGTACTGGGAGACTTTTCTGCTCTTCTTGCAGCCTTGAAGAACTTAGAAACACACTCATGCCTTTGTTCCTGGAAGTTAATACATGTGTCCTTTTCTGATTTAATTTAGGGAAAGCCACTAAAGGAGGCACAGGGAGAAATCCTTTATTCGGCCAACTTCCTAGAGTGGTTTTCAGAGGAAGCCCGTCGTGTTTATGGAGACATTATCTCTACCCCTGCCAAGGAAAGGCGGGCCCTGGTCCTCAAGCAGCCTGTGGGTGTGGCCGCAGTCATCACGCCGGTACGTGCAGGACCAGCAAGATCCCGGGGGAGGAGATTGGGTAGGGAAGCCAGAGACCATTTACTCTTCCTTGTGAGCAGGTATGTTCATCCTGCTTGTGGGTTCCTGATCCTTTTGCTGATGTGGAGGCGTATTTCCAGGTCCTCTGGGATAAGGTTAGGTGTGGTGATAGTGGTGAGTGGAGTACACATTGCTGATGCCTTCAGAAATGGTGTGACCCACAGGAGGACCCAGGTGGCTTTTCTGACTTGCCATAAAGCAGTGATGGCGAAACTTTTAGAGACCAAGTGCACAAACTGCTGGTGATGTCATCGCCTGGCCCTGATACTCCTTTCGAAGCATGCACATGGCCCTCTGTGTGCTGTTATCCGATGCTCGGCTGTTGGAGAGATGCTGTGTGAGCTGGCTCGCGTGCCCACAGAGAGGGCTCTGTGTGCCCACTGTGGCACATGTGCTATAGCTTTGCCACCACTGCCATAAAATCTTCTTCCTGGCATTTTCCAGCACCTCTGAAAAATCATCTGGAATTTACCATTTTTAAAAAGAATTAAGATAGCGCACGTTTTTAGAGGTACACAGTTGGGGAAAAGAATTATGTTTTCATTGTGGTGATTAGCAGTAGCACCCCATGTGTGTACCCCCCAGCAGGGTCAGGGCCAGGCTTGGAGGGCACAAGGCTAAGAATACGACGCTGTGTCGGCCTGAGTGGCTGCAGTACCCTTGAGGGCACCAGCTTTCTCGCAGGGAGCAGCCCCTCCTCGACCCCCTTTCCGAGCTCTCACATTAACTTCTCTCCAGTGTCTGCCAGCTGGTCCAAGATCCTGCTAGGCACAGGCACAGGTAGAGTCCTCCTTAGTGCCCACACTGACTGGCTTGGACCCAGGGCTCACTTGGCCTCAGCCACATTCTTTCTCAGTTTCCCCAAAAGTAATAGTAATACCAACCTCAAAAGATGTGATAAGGATTTAGTTAATTTAAGTGCTTAAAATAATACCTAATGTAGAATAAGCACTATACAAGTATTTGTCAAGATAAAATAAGATACAGTTACCATAGATATGTAGATGTCTATAGGTATCTCTATATAAAGGAAAATGAACCACTTTCAGAATCACCATGGCCAATATTTTCTCCCACCAGCCTCTGGCCAAATCCACACTACCGTCTATGTTTGTAAGCAAGATTTAGTTGGGAGACATCGTGTCTGCTTGTGTGCATAGTATCGGTGATGTGTTTCAAGATGCAGCTTCAGAGTTGAGTTAATTGTGACAGGAACTGTGCATCCCACAGAGCCTAAAATTCTTACCACCTGGTCCTTTACAGGAAATACTGGTCCGTATAGTTTTGTCCTGTGTCAAACTCACATATCCTGTCTTATGGGCACCTTTATCTCCTGCGTCCCTCAGGTCAGAAGGGTCAAGAGTTTGGGCAGCCGGAGAGCAGGTTTCCCAGGCAGTTGTGCAATGGAATTTGTTGACTGACTGCCCGTGGACGAGTGAGGTCCTTCCTCTCACATCTTGTCCTCTGCTCTTTGATCCCAGTGGAATTTCCCCAGCGCCATGATCACCCGGAAGGTGGGGGCTGCCCTGGCAGCTGGGTGCACTGTGGTGGTGAAACCTGCTGAGGACACGCCCTTCTCCGCCCTGGCCCTGGCCCAGGTGAGCCTCTCCCTGGGACTCTGCAGAGCCAGCCAAGTCCAGCTGTGGGTTTTCCTCAGGGACGGATATGGAATGAAGCCTTTTTCCTTTGCCTTTTTTCCTTTGCTTCTCTGCTCCGCATGGTGTTGTGCTTTAATCTGCTGAGAGTTATTTTATGTCAGAAGAGTTGCTCTCTTTAGAAGAAAAAAGAGATGGGAGGCTTTCTGATACCTGCAGGCTGTGTATTTTTTAGTCTGTTCTAAAAATGATATCTCTCCTTCATCCCAGTTAAATAGGCACCAAAATGTCGGTGTCTCTGTCCCTCTCTACACTTGATCCAGGTCCATCTGCATCCAGGCAAATCATAGTCTGCTTAGAATCCTCCAGGGGCTTCTTCTGTTGTGCAGTAAACCTCAGGCTTTCTACAGTGGCCTCCAAGCCAGATGTGGTGATTCATTCTTGTAATTCAGCAGCACTCTGGGAGGCTGAGGCAGGAGAATCACAAGTTCCAGCCAAGCCTGGGCAACTTAATAAAACCCTGTCTTAAAATTTTAAAATGTATAAAATGTCAGGGTCAGTGTGAAGACCCTGGATTCAATTTCTGGTACCATAGGGATGCCCCTCCCAACCTCTGGTGCCCTCTGACCTTGTCTGTCACCCATCCTCTCAGGCTACTCTGGCCCTGCTCCATGGGTCACCCCATGAGCATTGTCCCCCACACAACCATGACTTGCTGCTTCCTGTCTGTGTGTTTTATGGGAAACTCGCGGAAGTGACAGGGATTTCCCACATACACACTCAGCTTCCCTTACCAGTGAAGGAGTTAAGGTCTCAGTGCCAAACTGGTGTATTGATTCTTTCAAGCAGAAATCACTCGAGGAACTGTGACTTCAGAAAGGGCCATTAGGACCAGCTACCATGGTGCGTGCCTGTAATCCCAGTTACCTGGGAGGCTGAAGCATGAGGACTATATGATCGAGGGCAGGCTGGACTACTTAGCGAGACCCTGACTTAAAAAAATAAAAAGGGCTGTGGCTGTAGCTCAGTGCAAGAGTCCGGGGCTCAATCCTCAGTACTGAAAAGAATTTCCTGGCTCTGTTCCCTTCCTTAAGTCTTACCCGAGCTTCCCTCTCCTGCTCCCTGCTGCTGGTCGCAGAGTGGCTGCCTGGCTCTGCCCGTGCTTCCCAGCCCCGTGGCTGTGGCTGCGCTCTGCCTCCTCACACAGGTGTCAAGAGGCATCCAGGTGCTCCCTGTGTGCTGCTGGCTGGGGGAGCCACCTTGTGTCATAAATATTTCCTTTAACTGTCTTGCTATCAATGCCACTGATATTTTGGTCTTGTTGCCCAGTTGCTGTCTCCATGAGAAGATATAGGGAAATTCGAAAACTGCTTCTACTACCATCTTCCCAGAATCCCAGTCAGATTTATGAAACAAGTTATGTGCACAGGATTCACAAATTCAAATAATTCAGGACATGTCGTATCCAAAGAGAATCGCCACAGGGAGAGTCCAGTTCCCCGGCAGCTGTCTCTCTAGTACCCTGGGGAGGGCTTGGCTGGGCTCTTCTCTCTGCCTCCCTTTCATCTCTGGTTGGTGATGGCATTCTAGAGGCTGAGGCAGGAAGATCACCTTGAGTTCAAAGCCAGCCTGGGCAACATAATGAGACCCTGTCTCAAAACAGAACAAATAAAAACTAAAACACACACCACACACACACAAAAAAAACAGAAAACAACCTTTTCTAATCTACACCCTGGGAAATGGACTCAGAGGCATCTTGCTGTGACCCTGCACCAATAGCTTTACCCTAAACACCTTTCCACCCTCTGGCTGGAGAATCACCACCCTTTTTCTTGAACATCCCTTTGCATTTTCTTTTTTTTTTTTGAGACAGGGTCTCATTATGCAGTTCAGGCTGGCCTTGAGCTCACTTTGTAGCCCAGGCTGGTCTTGAACTCACTCCTGCCTCAGCCTCCTGAGTGCTGGGATTATAGGCATGTGCCACCACGCCCAGCATTGCATTTTCTTGAGAAAGAAATCCAATGTTTAAATACCAGGTGGCAGCAAAATTTATACCCCAAGATATTTGTTTGAATGATATTTAACACACATTAATGTTATTTTTGCCGGGGGGGGGCAGTTCTGGTACTTGGAATTAAACTGATGACCTTGCGCTTGCCAGGAAGGCGCTGTGCCGCTGAACTAACTCCTCAGCCCCACACGTTAATGTTAATATCACTTTGGTACTAAAAATTGTATTTCAGATTCAAATCGATATAATATATAAGTATCTATATAAATGGGTAATTATGTATTATGTATAAATAATCGGTATAAACTTGTGCTGGGGATTGAACCCAGGGCCTCGCTCATGCAAAGCTCGCATTCCACCTCCGAGTTACCCCTACCCCCGAGCGTGTTTTCGCTCCATGCACATGCTTGCTTTACCAGTGAGGATACTACAGATTGCAAAGATATTCTGAGCCCAAAGCCAGCTTCATTTTCTTTCCATTAATTTTTCAGTCATGCATCTATTCGCTGCAGTTTTCTGCTTGTCTCCATCTAATAACCTGTTGCCGCGTTGGCTGTTTCCCTTCCAGCTTGCGAACCAGGCAGGCATCCCTCCTGGTGTGTACAACGTCATCCCCTGCTCCAGGACCAAGGCCAGCGAGGTTGGGGAGGTGCTCTGTACCGATCCACTGGTGTCGAAAATCTCCTTCACCGGCTCTACAGTCACGGGAAAGGTATGTGGTAGGTCTCAAAGAAAACAAGCATCATTCTAGTATTTTTCTTTCTTTCTTTTTATTTTTGTTTGTTTTTTTTGTTTGTTTGGTTTTGGGGTGTTTTTTTTGTTTTGTTTTAGTTTTGGTTTTTTGAGACTGGAGCTGGCTATGCAGTCCAGGCTGGCCTTGAACTTGTGGTGATACTCCTGCCTCAGCCTCTGGGTACTGAGATTACAGGCATATACTATCACACCTGTCTTTCTTTTTATAGAGTATAAAAATACTATTTTCTTTTCATCACAGATTTTAAAAAGATTTCTAGCAGAGTGTTAAATCTTCACTAACACGGTGTCTGCTCATCCTCTGGAGATATTTGGAACTATGTTCCCTGTTGTGACATGACATGGGCTTCTTGGTGACAGCACCAGAGCAGCCAGGGTCCCATTGTTTTGCTTAGTGTCAAGCAGCTGAACATTATTCGTGGCATTTCTTCAATTCCAGATTGCATATTTCTTTCCCAGCCTAGAATTAAGGATTCCAGATACTCACCAGTGATGCTGAAATGAGTGTCTTAGCAGTGAACAAAAATTGTATTTAGTATGAAGGTATTTATAGAAATGGGAAAAAAAATTTTTCTAGCTGTATCTTTTTCCTTAAGTGTTGATAAGTTCTTTCTTTAGAACTTCATGTGTGTGCCTGCGAGTAGATTTTTATTGATTCTGTTAAGTGTTCAAAAGAAAATTCAGAGCCGGGCGTGGTGGCACACACCGGTAATCCCAGCACTCGGGAGGCTGAGGCAGGAGGATCGTTGCAAGCCTGGACTACAAAGTAAGCTCAAGGCCAGCCTGAACTGCATAGCGAGATCCTGTCTCAAAAAGACAAAAAAAAAAAAGAAAGAAAATTCAGGGTGGAACAAAAGTTCTTATTTACGATGTTTTGAGAAAATATGCCCTTTCCTACTATATGTATGTGTACATATACATAGGTACATGCGTATATACTCATGCTAGACATGTGCAAAAAGCAGTGGACCAAATGCAAATGTAATTCGAATCTGAAAGTTTTTGTGAAAGTGATCATTTTTAGAAAGCATGAAAAGCAGGATGGAATAATACAGTTATCATATAATTTCCAAGCGTAGTCATTCCGTCATGTTGTACAGCCCCACTCGGACAGCAGCCCTCTCACTCTTTCATCCACTCATCTCTCAGCCACTTATCTCATCCACTCATTTCATCTATCAACCGCTCGCCTCATCTGTCCTCCACTCGTCATGTACCGCCCATCCTCCTCCCCTACCGTCCACTCATCTCAAAGCAGGGATGTCTAGGGCCCTAGACTGCGGTCCCCTAGCTGGTGGCTCGGCTATGCACACTGACTCTCAGAGCGCTTCAGATGTTGTGAAGTCGAGGGAGAGAGGATGGGGAGAAAGCCATGACGCCTTTGCTGTCCAAGCCAGGGAGATGCCAGCGTGCTGGGCACAGGGCAGTGACCCCCCCTCTGTCATTCTAGTTTCCTCAGCAACTGTGAGCAGCTGTCCCATCTCCAGGAAAGTGTCAGCTGTGTTCCTTCCCAGTCTGGCTTTGCTTGTCTTTACCTAGGACAGTGATTTGCTCAAGCGACTTAAAGGAAACAGTGATAAGTGTAGCAAAAATAATCTGGGCTGGGTGTGTAGAGTATGAGTTTAGCATGCGCAAGGCCTTATCTCGATCCTCAGCACCAAAATGTCACCAGCGACCACGAGAACAGCAACAGCAACTAATCTCTGTGTCGGGGGCCTATTTTGAGCTGGTCTTTACCGAGGACCCGCGGCTGCCCTCCTGGTTCTCCAGCTCAGACTCATCTCGTAGATGAAGCGCACACAGGGCGGTGTTCTGGGAACACCCCTGCCCTCTTCCCAGGGCTGTGCAGAGTGCGGTACAACCCGTGGCACCTGGGGTCTCCCTGAGTGGTCACCTGAGGGGAACAGGCTGCAGAGGGTGACAGTGACCAAGGACAGCGGCCTGGCAGAGACAGGGAGCCAGGCCAGTCACGCTCAGTCCTGGGACGCTGAGTCCTGAGGAGGTCAGCAGCAGGAACCGGGGCTGAAAGGACTAGGAGGGGACGGTGTTGTTGCAGCTCCAGGGCCCATGGCAGGCTGAGCCAGAGTGGGCCATCGCTGTGGGGAGGAGACCAGCTGGAGTGATGCAACAGTGACCCCGCTGTGGAAACCATCTTCACATTGGAGCGGATTCTGAAGTCAGTAGCTTGGTAGATAGTACTTTTTAAAAAGTTTAAATGAAAATAGTTTTATTGAGTCTAATATGTCTAAGCTAGGCACAGTGGCACACGCCTGTAATCCCAGCACTGAACTGCTGAACTCGGTCTGCTTCACTTGAACTATCTCAGGTAGATCTGTCTAACAGCCAGGATTGGACAAAGGCCTATTGTCCTGTAATAAATGTAAATATCCTGAGCAGCTTTCTTAGCCATAAAATCTCTTCCTGGGGTCTCATAGTTATATGTACCAGAAGTAACACTTGTCCATTGAACTAATAGTCCTACAAATTTATTTCGAGGGAATAATTGCAGTTAACAGCAAAGAATTGGAAACCACTTAAATGTCCACCATGTGGGGGCTGGATAATTAAAATTATGGCATGGCCACACAGTGGAATATTATGCAAGTATCTAAGGAATGTTCTAGAAACATATATGCTGCCATGAGCAGATTTTCATATTACAGTATTGCATTAAAGAAACAAGAGGCCTGGCATAGTGGTGCACACCTGTAATCAACACACTCAAGAGGCTGAGACAGGAGGGTCACTGCAAGTTTGAGGTCAGCCTAGGTTTAAGGCCATTCTGGACTATATCGTGAAATCTCATCAAAAAAAAAGAACAAAGTAAAAAGTGTTACAAACATGTTACGATGTTACAGATAAATGGCTAGTGGGGAAGGTAAAGCAGGTTAGGAAGCTGTATGATTATACCCCACTGTTTTTCTTTTCAGAGAAAAAGTACGCGTTCTGAATATAATCCTTGAAATGCTGTCAGTGGCAAACCATAGCTTATGGGGCCCTGGGGGATTTTTTTTTATTACCTTATTTCTATCTTACGATGTTTAAACCTATCCCTTATATTTTAATACTTACACAGTTCAAAAATGAAGGCAGTGTTAGCGTGTTTACCTTTCTCACATATAGACAAATGTGAATGCACATTTTCATCTCCCTCTTCCTGTGCACACTACCGCCCCATGCACACCGTGCGTGCCTTGCTTCTTTCCTCACTGGGTGACGCTGTCAGCAGAGGCCTCGTGGCCCTGGTCCTTGGCCTTGGGGCTCACGCACTGCACACCCCCTGCCGCCTGCAGGTCCTGTTGCGCCATGCAGCCAGCACTGTGAAGAGGGTCTCCATGGAGCTAGGCGGCCTCGCCCCATTCATCGTCTTCGACAGTGCCAACGTGGACCAGGCCGTGGCAGGGGCCATGGCGTCTAAATTTAGGAACGCTGGCCAGGTGAGTTATGTAAAATCTCCAGGGTCTGAGGTATAGATATGTGGGCTTAACGAAGATCACACAGTACCACCTCCACCACCCACTCACCTCCTGAGGATTCTCTCTCTTGATTGGAGTGGAAATCACCGCGTGTGGCACCGCCTCTCAGCCCTTGGTGTTACAGTCTGGGCTCTGCGTGCCCTCAGCCCCCGGCCCCCGGCCCCCGGCCCTCAGTGTTACAGCTCTGGAGCTGTACGCCTCACGTCAGCTCCGCAGTAGCCAAGGCTCCAACCTTAGCAGCCGTGGAGAGCTCTTCTTAGCATCCGCTGGTCTGTGGAGCTCCTCACAGCTGGCAGCTCCTAATGCATATGGCTCTTTTTGAAAGCAACCTGTTCTGCCCCCTTTCACTTAACCAGCAGATTTACAGGACTACCGAACAAGGCTTTAAGTCCTTAGACCAGAGAAGGCCCTCCGAGGTTAACTGGAGGAGGGTTAGGGAATGCTGCTTACAGAAAGCAACAGCCGGCCTATGATTGGGCCAAATTCAGCCCAGCGCATTGGTCCGCATTTGAGCCTACTGGGTGGTCTGAATTCAGGCTTGCTGATTGAAACCTGCCTGGTTCCAATTCACGCCTACTATGGTCAGGGCGGACACTCGCTGCCTGTGCAGGACTGCCAGGACAGCTGCAGCTGTAGCTGTCAGCCAAAGCACGCCCCCTCTGGCTGTCAGCTGAAAAAAGGGAAGGGTTGGGCTTTGTCTGGTCTGTCTCACCTCCTACTGCATTCTGTCTTTCAGCAAGCATTTAGTGATTCCCCTTGATTTTACTAAGGACTCTGCTTGGGTAGACCACAGAGAAGTAAGGTGCAGTCTCTGGCATCAGAGGATTTGCTGAACTGCAGATGTGTTTCAGTTAAACAACCCTCTCTTCTCCTTTCTACCCTTTGAATCTGGTGGTTTCCATGAATCTCCCTTAATGCACTTTTCTGTACTAAAGAGACCCAGTCATCATCTCAGATACCGAAGCTGTGAAGGTCTGAAGTCCCCTATCTTCTTTTTTTCTTCCTCTTTTTTGAGACAGGGTCTCACTATGCAGTTCAGACTGGGCTTGAGCTCACTTTGTAGCCCAGGCTGGTCTCGAACTCACAATGATCCTCCTGCCTCAGCCTCCCAAGTGCTGGGATTACAGGCATGTGCCACTATGCCTGGCAGGTCCCCTATCTTGAGGGAAAAATTTCTTGGAAAAGCTCAGAACCGTGATGCCTGCCAAGACCTGCCTGGGTTTCACCCTCCCTGAGATGTGGGCAACAGGGACACCCGATAAAGGGTATACAGGCAATTCCCAGATTGTTCTGGGAGAGTCACATCTGCATAGGAGATCCTGGAATATTAGATTTGTCAGGGACCTTTCAAGTCATCTGATGCAAACCTCAAATTTTACAGATGAGAAATGGAAACTCTGGAAAGACAGTGTGACTTGCATTACCACCCTGAGGAACGGGCACTACACGTAGAGCCTGCCTCCCTGTGCCTGTCCCGGCTGCCACCGGGAGCCTGGCTTCTTAGGAAGTATCTTGCCAGGTGTGGTGGCACACGCCTATAATCCCAGCACTCAGGAGGCTGAGGCAGGAGGATTGTTGCAAGTTTGAGACCAGCCTGGGCTACAAAATGAGCTCAAGGTCAGCCTGAACTGCATAGCGAGACCCAGTCTCAGAAAGACCCCTCTCCCCAAAAGGAGCTGTGACCTTAACATACCATCAATTTTATTTTTTTTTTTTGGTTTTTCTCCGGTACTGGGAACCGAACTCATGACCTTGCTCTTGCCAGGCAGGAGCTTTTGCCGTTGAGCTAAATCCCCAGCCCCAACATACCATCAATTTTAAATAGAATAAATATACCAGGAAGGTACCATTATGAAAAGGTAAAATGTTGCATACTGTTCTGTGTCAGTTTTCATCTTTATTTTGGCCTTTGGTAATTAATTTTCCCCTTTTACATATATTTAATTCACTTGATTGAAACAGATATGCTTTCCTTTACAAACAAACGCTGATATGTGTATAATCTTGAACGTTAAATCATAAGCTTATAACTTTGGGACAGGTTTCTTTATGCCAATAAACATGCATAGTATGTGAAGTTCTAGGTATACTTTTTTCTACTAGGATAGTACATGATGAAGAAAAAAGACAAAATAATTGATTAATGCTTACCTTTCTTTTAATTACATTTTATAACTTAAAGTACAGGATCTGATCTGAATAGAAAAAAATAAGGTGTTTTTTTTTTTTCAGTAATTTAGATTAACGTGGAAGAAGGGCCTTAGGTTCCTTTTTTTGAGACAGGATCTCAATATGTAGTTCAGACTGGCGTGAACTCATGGTGATCTTCCTGCCTCAGCCTCCCAAGTACTGGGATTACAGGTATGTGCCACTGTGCCCAGCTGGTCCATTTTTAAATGACAGATTCAGTCAAACACTTGGAAGGATCAGCTAGGAAGTATAAGTTAGCATTTGACCTTATTCTTTATAGCCTCTGCTGTTGCTGTTAAATTGCTCTCTCTCAGGAGGGTTGTGACCCCTTTTTCCTATTTGTTTTATAAGTTTATTCAGGCCATTTAAAAAAATGGGGCAAGTGGCCGATAGTCTTGTTTTACATAGAGATATTGATACTTGCTCGCATGTTTGGCTGTAGGTGTGCAGCAGCTACGGAGGGAAGCAGAGAGGAAGTGCAGTTATCTTTGGGGCCCAGCCCTCCCCGTGGAGGAGAGCAGCAGGCTGGGCCCATGACAGAGACACCTGGGGAGGTGTTTTCCCAGCAAGGAGGCGCCTGTGTCGCGTTTCCAGGTGGGATAGATAGCTCCCAACGCACTAACTCTGGGTGTGCTTCTGTCTCCTCTCCAGACTTGTGTTTGTGCAAACCGATTCTTGGTGCAAAGGGGTATCCATGATTCCTTTGTGAAAAAGTTTGCTGAAGCAATTCAGAAAAGCCTGCGAGTGGGGAACGGATTTGAGGAGGGAACCACCCAAGGCCCACTAATTAATGAAAAAGCAGTAGAAAAGGTAAGTTCGTTTTAGTATTTGTGAAGGTAAACTATGGTTTCCAAATGAAAAGCTTAGCTGAGCAAAAACACTTTGGTAAGGTGCCCGGCACGGCTATTCTGGAAACAGTGGAGAAATTTGAAGAAAAAAAAAAGAGAGAGAGAGAGACGACTTCTACCAGTTTGTATGGTCAGGTGGCATTGTCTTATCAGAAGCTTCTCTAGCTCCGTCATTACACTGAGACCATGTGGTATCCGTCACCTTGGGGCGTCAGCTCCCCCCCCCCCCCCCCCCCCCCCCGTCTTCCATCACAGTGCCTCTAATTCCTCTTCTGATGACAGAATTCCCTTCCAGGAGAATCTCTGAGGAAAGCACTCCAGCAGGCAAGTAGAAAATCATGGTACCATGTTCAGGATTTAGACATGTAAAACAAAGCCATTTTTAGGAAGGATTTGTGTGATGAAAAAGCTGACACATGCTAGACTACTAGAGAGGTGAAATTTCTTCACTCTACTGGGTTTTTTTCAAAAATCCTTTTTAGAGTCATGAGAAACTTTCACATAATACCAAAGCATCCAACATGTCCAGTGTGTCACCTAGATAAGGATTTTAATAGAATCTTTCAAATCAGGCAGGTTTGGCCGTTGGAGACGGTGTGTAAGACAGAAGGGAGGAAGGCGGCTACAGGGGGAACAGCTGGAGCTCAGCCAACTCCTAGATGAACCAAGGTCAAGTACAGCCGAGGCAGTGCTCATGGGCGTGGCACAGCCCACGCGGTGGTCCTCGGACTCATGAAAGGTCAACCTCAGACCCACGGCCAACCTGACCCGGTGGGCAGTCACTTCATCCAAACCCATATCCATTGCTGTGCCCCAGGGAAGCATGGAGGTCAGATGGAGCTCTGACTGTCAGGACAGAAAATGCGTTAAAGTTCACGCCATCATGCTTGCATCTTAGAGGGGACTTTGGACGGCGGGATACATGGGTGCCTGCTTGTCCAGTGAAGGTTGTCTGGGTTCAAGTCCCAAATGGTCATTCTCAGTACCTCACCCCTGTGCTTTTCATAGGTGTGATGTCTGTCCCCAGGCCGCTGACTATTACTTTGTCTCAGGTAGAGCCAAGGCTTTTGTTTTGTTTTGTTGGTAGTGCTGGGGAATAAAACACAAGCATCACTGAGCCACGCCCTTTTAACTGCCCAAGGGATGCTCATTTACAGCCAGTCTGAGAGCTGTATTGGAGATTTTTTTTCCCTAAGCGGATAGGCAGATACTGTCCTCTAGATGGCGCAGCATACCAGAACTTGAAATAAGCCCCACTGCAGGAGTTCTGATTTTTGCAGCGTTTGGTAAAAATAACCTTGTTTAAGGACATGGTTTCAGGCTAGGAATATGCTCAGTAATAGAGCACTTGCCTAGCATGGATATAGGCCTGGCTTCAATCCTCAGCCCCCACAAAAGCAAAAATAAAAACAGCCTGTGGGACCTGGAGATATAGCTCAGCGGCACAGTGCCTGCCTGGCAAGCATGAGATCCTGAGTTAGAGTCCCAGTACCAAAACAAACAAACAAAAAACAATCTGTGGGGTTGGCACTGATGTACACACTGTTAGAGAGAGGCTTTAGGAAAAAATACCGCGTACCACATTTAATACAGAGAGGGCCAGAGCAGGTTCTGTGAGGGGCAAAGAAGTGGGATGCAGTTAAATAAGTTACAAATAAACTTCTAAAATACAAATCACAGAAAGCCGTCCTGGCTAACGGAGTTTGTTGCAGGCAGTGAGATTTTTAGACTCAAATTGTGTGCGTCTCGATGGCAGTGTGTGCCTGCTCGGAATGTGTCTCTTCTGAAATACTACAGAAAAATCAGCTGGGAATGGAGGGGAGGAGGACTCGGTGCAGCAGAGTATGTGGTGAACTTCTGCAGGCAGGAGAGGGCTGTGTTAAGAGAAAAACCAAAGCAAGTAGTCCTGTCCAGGGCAGCTACCCAGGGCATCAGGGCCTGTCTAGAATAGGTTGTTCAGGGAGTGGGAAGTTGAAGAAAGGAAACCCGGAACCATTGATTATACTGTTGCACTGTTTCTGGGTCGTTCCCACACCAGCCACCCCGGCCCCCGCACCCCAGTGCCCACAAGCCAGCAAAGGCATTTGCCCCAGGCACAACAGTTTTTTCTGCAGAACTACAGTAGCTGGCCCAGGGGTGCTTGCTTCCGGAGTGACACCTTCCTGCCTGTGCCCTTTGGGGAAGGAGGCCACCCTGTGGGACGCTACCATGCAGAATAAACCCAAGTTCTCAGCAAAGGCCACCATGGTCCTGATGCCTGAAAACCATCTGCACGAAAGAGCAAAGGTCGCAGGAGGAAATAGAGCAGACCCTGGAGGAAGCAGACAGCCTGGGAACAGAAAGGATGCCTCTAAGAAGCCCTCCTGTCATCCCCGAGTTTTGAGGAGCTAGTACACCTGCAAGGCAAGGAGCACAGTCTGTAAAAGCAAAGTCTGTAGAAATTGAACACAAAACTGTCCAAAACTGCAGTAGCTGAAGCTAGAAGATAAAATTAGGGCGAACTCAGGAATAAAACAAAGCATAGAGAAAGATTATGGTAGAGCTGTTTGAAATTGGAATTATAGACACATCTTGTTTAACGAGTGAGCTTTGTTCCAGTGACTAGGTCATTAGATGAGTTGGTTGCTAAATGAAGAACTGTATACAGTATGTATGATATAATATTCAGAAGAAAGAAGTGGTTACGCTCCAGCTTGATGACTTTGCTTTTATCTGCATAGCTCACATGCAGTGCTGTAATGTATAACAGAGCATAAAACTATAGTAGTGCACTGTACACTCAGCAAAAATTACAGCCATGCACTATAGAAGAAGCCACCATAAGGCCACACTGCCACTCAGTGTTCCTGCGTGGCAAGTCTGAATGTGGGGCATAAGTCTGAGCAGGGCACCGCATTCATAAAACCAAGCAGTCGTTAAACAGGTAAGTCGTTAAGCCAGGACTACCTGAAAACTGAGGAGAGGGGAGAGATCCCTTCGTGTGAGGAGCTGTTAGAATGAAAGAATTGAGAAGATGAGGAAATCTCATTTATCTAATAAGTAATTGAAAAAAACTTCTCAGAGCTGGGGGAATATGACTTAATTCTTTACATCAAAAGACCTCACCAGTTACCACAGGAAAAGAATGGAAGCAGATGGGCCGTGACATGCATGTAGGTATGTGGTGGGTGTACTTGGTGATATTCATAGGGCGACAAAATCAGGTAAGGACACTCTCTGGGAACAGAATGTGTGGCCCCCATCTTGAAGCTCTGCAGCTCCATGCTGAGGAGAATGTGCCAGAAGAAAACAGAAGCACAGTTCAGGAAAGAGGACAACATGGGACCCAGTGGGACTCACGAGGGTGCCAGGAAAGCGACCCCAGGAAGCTGAAAGAAGAACCATTAGAGTTTTCTGCAGTGCGAGCATTCTGAGAGACTGTGCCTCTCGGAGTCTCCTTGGCCAGCCTCGCCATGTGCTCTTCTTTTCCTTGTCACACAGGTGGAGAAGCACGTGAGTGACGCGATCTCTAAAGGGGCCACCGTGGTGACAGGCGGGAAGCGGCACCCGTGTGGAAGGAACTTCTTCGAGCCCACGCTGATGAGCAATGTCACCGGGGACATGCTTTGCTCTCATGAAGAGACGTTCGGGCCGCTGGCACCGGTTATCAAGTAAGACCCTCCGGCCAGTGGGAAGACCAGAGCGGAACAGGAGCTTCCGTGCTGCTAAGGGGCCGGGACTGAGCCCACCGAAGGGCAGAGTTCAACTCATGGGTTTATTGTTTTCAATCTTTGGAAACGTTTAGAATTCCCTTGGCCTTTGGGTCTGGCACATCTCGCCCCGGGGTTTTGTCAGTCTGAGCTCTTAATGGCCTTTTAACATCTAAAGTGCTTGTTCAGCCCTGGGAAATCTATGATCATTATTCCTCACAGAGGTTTCCTCCCCTCTGTGTATCCTTTGCCAGCCCCCAAGAGCAGGGTTCCGGTGACATTTCTACTGCTGTTCTCTGCTGCTATGACCTGTTCACCTCATCCCTTCATCCCCGCCTGATGTCTTCTGAGAGTCCTTCCCTCCGTGTGCTGGGTTGTGTTTTTGTCTGTTTTCCACTGGGATATGTTTGCAGTAAGGCTGCTCGCGTTCCTTTGGGGGACTTGGTACACATATAACGCGTATCTTGATCATTTTCTATCCCCTCCCTCCACCCTTTTCCCTGACCCCTTCCTCTTCTCCAGAAAGCCTGCCTTTACTTTAGTCTCTATTTATATTTTGGGTTTCTCATAAAAGAGAAACCATGTGACAGCTCAGTTTCTGCGTCTTCATTAATTCTTCAGAGATACAACCCTCTCCCCGAGTTCTTTGTCCCCACTTTTTTTTTTTTTCGTTTTGATCTTTACAATCATTTCTTCCCTACTGCTGATTCTTCCTGCTTCATCTTCCCCTCACTCCGCCCTTTTCTTACATTTCTATTCTGTTCCACAATTTCTTCCCGGTCTGGCATAGACCATGCTGCTTGTTGTGTGTAGTCTTAGAGCTCCTCAGCTGTCTCCGGATTTCCCCTGAATTCCGTGCATCCTTCACATCTGCCATGGGGCTGTGAGAAAAGCTGAGACTCCAGTTTGAGCTCCTGCTGTGTTTAGGGGACAAAGGGCCAAGTCTCAGGGTGGGGCTGGGGGGGCTCTAGGACCAAAGTCTTGTCTCAGCACCACCCCAATATCCTTTTCCTCTTGGGTATTTTGCAGTCATCGCTATTGCAATGGGCTGGAGAAAAAGGCTGCTGCCTCCTCCCATGCTTATTGTGCATGGCTGGTATGCCACCTGGGCGCGGCACTGCCTGGGGCGCCTAGCACCTAGCACAGATCCAGGGGCCCAGGCCTATAGACAGGATCACTGGAAATTGAGGGCTGTACCTCACCTCCATGGCTCCATAGATGGCCATTATTTCCCTCCCGTCTTCCTGGCCTGCAGAAGTGTCTGGCATTTTTGGTGTTGCTGATGGAGCTTTTCAAGTCAAGATTCTCCTTCTGTCCCCTCTGGCATCTCCAGCACTGAGTTCCCACAAGCTGCTGCCACTTGCCAGGGTCAGAAATCTTTTTTGTCATGTGCTTTGCTAGCCTTGGTACCATTTTGCTTGTGGAGTTTATATATTATCCCACCGTTGTAGAAATGCACTGCTTGAAGAACGTCCATCCTTCATTTTAATAGAAATATTTTTCCTAGAACATGAACCAGATGCTTTCTCAGGTAACCCGAAGGATGCAGTGGCTAGGAATGCAGGCTTTGGAGATGACGGGAGTGTAGATTCAGGCTTCACTGCCTGATGCCAGAACCTCAGGCTGGTTAAAGATTTCTAAGTGTGGGGCTGGGGATTTAGCTCAGCGGCAAAAGCGCCTGCCTGGCAAGCGCAACGTCGTGAGTTCGGTTCCCGGTACCGGAGAAAAACCAAAAAAAAAAAAAAAAGATTTCTAAGTGCGCTCTGCATAGCCCTGCAGAGACAGCAGGCTCCCTTTGCTAGTAGATCTCTATATTTTAAAACTGGGATGCTTAGAACCTCATGCCACAGTTATAATTCAGGAATGGCAGAAAAATACCACTCTGATCTTGTTCCTGAAATAAAATTAGAACATTGGAAGAGACTGCAGAGGGCTTTGGCACAAACCCTTGCTTTCAGAGAGGAACAGATGCCATGCACGGTGACTCTGGGGAGCAGGGGTAAGTGCCAGAGCCTGTTTGAAAGCTGGCCCTGCCCTCCGCCTCCGAATGGGTTTCCTCTATTGCACTGTGCTCGCTTCTGTGTAGTAGGGCTGTATCTGCAGCCCCCCACCTGCGCACACCGATGCCATCTAAGCAGACACGACTGTAATGAGTTCTTGGTGGCACCAGGAACAGCAGTCCCTTCCTTAGGGGATATGTGATGGTCTGGTTATCCCACAGTGCCTGCATGCTGGTCTGCTCTCTTCGTGCTCCCAGAAGAGCCAAGGCCAGGACTGAGCGGAACACTCAAGCTAGGAATGCTGAGGCCGTCAGCAATTGGTGTTCTTTTCCTCTGCTCTCTGCCTCTGGATCTCTTTGCAAAATACTGATTTACCTCTTGCCATTATTTGGTAAACAAATCAGAAGAAAAGAAAGCTGGGTCTCTGTACGCTTCCCTTCGCAGGTTTTGCTTATGACCTATTGTAACTTTGCCAGGTTCGATACAGAGGAGGAAGCTATCGCGATCGCCAACGCCACTGACGTCGGGTTAGCAGGTAGGGATCCGTGCGTGTCGGGCAGCTGTCATACTTATTTTCTCCAGCAAATGCCAGTCATGCATTTTGAACCATTGCCCTGGAGTCTGAGAAAGAAACTCAAGTAGAACACATATTGTGTTGCTTCCCAAGTGGCACGGTTGGGTTTGTGCAACACCAAATTCTTTTGACTTCTGCCCTGCGGGACACTTTGGTCTCTGGTTGAGTGGGGGGTAGAGAGAGAGAATGGTGCACACTCTTCCATGTTCTCAGGAGCTTAGTGCCCTGAACTTGCAGGCGCTCTTGCTTCTATTTTGCCTCTCCTGAAAGCCTAGACCATGCGCACCAGCAGAGAACGCGGGGCAGGGAGGGAGTGGTGTGGGCAGGAGCTGCTGACTCTCAGTTTGCAGGTGGTCAGGTGGCACAGCTTTACCTGGTAGTCCTGAGAAAGTGAGTGTGTTGGTATCCACAGTGCATGTGACGGGGAGTAGGTAGAGACGGAGGATACGCTCCCACTCTGTGAGAGCCTGCCCTCCACATGGGAGAACTGGTTACACCCAGGCAGGGAACAAGCATGCTCTGGGGTCTCCTGCCCCACGTTACCCACTTGCAGAGTCAGATGTGGGTACAGGGTTTCTGCCACACCAAGTCCAGGGCTGGTTTCTTCCCTTGTCCACGGGTTGACGGTGGAGAAAACCATGTCCTACACTAGGCTGTAAGTAATAGGCAAGATTGTGATCATAGGGAGTCAGAGGAGGGGTTCCGAGGGGACTGAGAAAGCTCAGAGAGAAGTAAGTGTGCTGAGGAGAGGGCTGGGCTCATTTGGAGATGACGGTGGGTGACTGGAATGAGGGAAGGCAAAGCTGAAACTGTTCGTTGGGACAGGAGGGAATGTCCAAGTAGCCACGAAGAAACTCAGCCTTACTCTACAGATAACCAGGAGTCGCCACAAGGTTTGGCAAAAACGTCGTATGGAAATCTAACAGGCACTCAAGGTGGGCTGGAGGGGAGAAGTGGAGCTGGGAGTGGTGTCTCAGCCCCTGGGTGTGTGAGAGCCCTCCCAGCAGGGGGTGAGGGGTGGACAGGAACAGAGGTGAGGTCCAGGGTCCAGAGATACAGACATGGAGCGGTCCAAGATGGGGTCATCGTGACTGGGGAGAGAGCTGTCCCCAGTGTCCTCGGCTTTAGACAGGATGTCTAGGGACGGCTCTACATGTCACATCCGTCCTTCCCTCTGCTTGCCAGGTTACTTTTACTCCCAGGACCCAGCCCAGATCTGGAGAGTGGCGGAGCAGCTGGAGGTCGGCATGGTGGGCGTCAACGAAGGCCTGATCTCCTCCGTGGAGTGCCCTTTCGGGGGCGTGAAGCAGTCTGGCCTCGGGAGGGAGGGGTCCAAGTACGGCACTGATGAGTACTTAGAAGTCAAGTACGTGTGTTACGGAGGCCTGTAGGAGCCTTCAGTTCCCTAAGAAATAAAGAAGTGACGCTTACTGACATAAATGGGGACATTCCAGCCATCATTTTAAATAAAGCAGTAGGCTACTGGAATTATGGGTATGTTAGAATTTAGCTAGTCCTCATGATCCCAAGCAGATGTCAATCATCCCCATCCTCCTCCATAAGCAGAGGTGAGCCCTGAGCCTGGGACCGCAGATCCTGGACAGCCAGCCTGGGTCCCAGCATGACCTGATCACCCCGGCGCAAGGCGGCGAGGAGCAGGCTCCCTTGGGCCCCTTGGAAAGGCCTGGTCACTGCTCGGGTGTCACAGCCTGGACCTGGCATGGGGTGTGCAGGGCAGTGGGTCACAGGAGCAGCAGCACTGCGGATGCTGTGTCTGAGGCAGATGCTGGACTGACCCTTTCGCAGCCTCTGAAGTAGCCCAGAGTCACCTGCACTGCTGTGTGGGGTACAGTGTGCTTCTCCCTGGGTCTGGACCAAAAGTCTTCACTGTCCCCAGTTCACTGCTTCAGCACCCTTCTGTTGCCTGTAGGAAATGAGTCTAAGGTGAAAGCAAAGATTGGCAGAGGCAGGATGGTACAGCGGTGGGCATGTGGTCTCTCAGCCTGGCCCGTCTGACCAGCTCTGTGACTTCCGTCAGGGCCCGCACCTCCCACCCTCTCCCCAGAGCCATTTCTGTCGCCAGCAGGGACACCTGGCCCGCCTGTGCACTGGCAGTATCTTAGCTAAGAGGAAGGAGCCCGGCACCCACCTGCCTGTCTGCCAGAGCTGTCTGTCCTGGTAGACTGCCACTTGCTCTCTCACTTCCAAAGGAGCGGGGCACCTTTACCACTGTGATCTCAAAAGAAGATATAATTCCCACAATTGCCAGTCCACTTTGTGGCTTTGAATTTCAGGCACCAATTACCTAATCAGAGAAACATACCTAATTATATTTCATCACGAAGTCTCCGTGGCCAGTGTTGGCTCTCAAGCCAAGAGAAAAAGTCCCAGTGGGAAAATCCTAGGCTCTTCTAGAAAGGCCTGCTATTGCCAAGGAGTCCACCTCAGGCTGTTCCTGGGCAAATGGGCAGAGATGAAGCCCTTGCATTCCTCCTTTCAGCGCATCATGTGCTGTGGGTACTGCAGGTGCTGGGAGGAAGGTGTGAATGAGGTAGCACCGGATACAGCTGCTCCTGAGCCCCGTCTGTACTCATGACCCTCACTAAGCCACGGACTGGGGGCAGTGCAGATAAGTAACAGTCTCGAAAGTCCCTGTGCCCAGCTGCCACACATCTGCCAGGTCAATACCTGCCATATCCTCAACGCCCAAAGGAGAAGGAGCAAAACTGCCTCCTGGTGACACTGCCCAGACCCGTCAAGAGTCACACCGTGTGCTGACAGGCCATTTCTGCTCTATGGTTGTTAGATGGTTTTGTGTAACGTGGAATTGCTTAAGATTTGTGTGTGTCCCTCTTTTTTCTATCGAGAATACAAATGCTCTGGTGTTATTTTCTAGAAATTGAATCCTGATGCAGGGATGTGTGGGGGAAGGCTCTCCAGTATGCATTTAACTTTGTGAGTTGGTGGTTTCTTGGCCAGATGACACATTTTTAAGTTTTCTTGCATATTTGGCTCACCAGGTACATAAATTGAGGGCCAGAGACCACTGCAGTATCTTTGACCAGTTTTGTAATTAAAATAATTTGGAGGTTTGGGATAGTGGCTCAGTGGAACATGAGGCCCCAGGTCCAGTCCCTAGAAGCACCAAAATAAAAAATAATTTAAGATAATTTGAAAAGGAAATAGCTTGTTGTGTAGTAAAATGGTTTTAGGTTGTGGGAAGAAAGTATTTTTATTTATTTAATTTTTGGAGGCAGGTGCAGTCTGGCAATCCTGTCTCAGCCTCCCAAGCAGCTGGGACCATTAAACATGTGCCACCAGCCCAGCTCAAAGTGTTTTTAAGTCAGCATTCATGGGGGGTTAATTTTCAGTAAGGTAACCATATGTGATATATGGAATTTTTTGTAGGCATGTATCTGTTTTACAATATAAGTGGAAAAAGACCAGTGATTGGCTAACTATAGCCCATCAGCCCAATCTGACCTGCCACTACTTTTGTACAACCCAAGAACCAAGGATGTTTTTCATCCTTTCAAATAGTGGGGGGTGGGATGTGAAGAGTCCTTTTTTCTTTTTTTTTTTTTTGTACCAGGAATCAAACTCATGACCTTGCACTTGCCAGGCAGGCACTTGTGCTGCTGAGCTAAATCTCCAGCCCTCTGTGAAGAGTTTTTCATGACACATGAAATTCAGATTTCAATGTCCATATGGGAAACATGGCCACACCTGCTGGTTTATGGTTCAGGCAGAATGGAAAAGTCTGTTCATGATGAGCCTGAAGTGTCACTACGCATCTCCTCCAAGGAGTCTGCCAGTTCCTTAGCTAGACTCCAAGGGAGAGATGGACCTTCCCACATTTATTGGGCATTATTTCCTTCTGCTAAACACTTGCCTTGTAGAAGGTGCTTTGGGCTAGTACTGCTGGGAGCCCCCAGCAGTGACCACAGAGCAAGAAAGAGTCCATGGCCTTAAAAAAAACTTCTTGGCTTCCCCCTCCAGCTACACAGGGGTCCTCACTTCCAGAGCTGATCTATGGCTGTGTCTCTGCCATTTGAGCGGTCTTAAGTGTAACTGTCATGTCTTCTCATGCCTATCTGTATTTTTATGTAGAGACTCAGTAAAATATGGATTAGAAGCACAGTGTAACAAAACCTATTTTCTTACTAGCTGACATCATGAACTTGAAATTGTGCCACAGAACTTGTTTCCTCTAACGGGTGGATCCCAGTGTTTTAATTGTCCTTATCTAGCTATTTCAAATAGCATTTTACTTGAATAATAACATGCTGTGAATGCTTCATGCTCTACCTTGGGTAAAATTTGGGGTAGGAATAGTGGCAAACATAAATGTGTCACTTTATAAATGTGTACATGACTAACTTTTCTAGTTGCTGACATAGTGTGTATCTGTCTAATGCAGAGTTGCACGTGTGTGATTAATAAATGTTGAACTGGGAGAAATTCTTACTTCAGTGTCGAAGTGTCTGGTGTGAGTTTTCTCCTGACCACTTGAGAGTTTCTTGGATGGTGTCAGGTTTGGATGTGAGAAATGCCCTGGGTGAGCGCCAGAAGGTGCACTTTGGGGGCCTGTGTCTAAGAGAACTTTTTAAATTGTTTATTTTCTGTTGCTAATAATACCAAGATTATGATATGAAGAACAGAAGTTTCTTTCAGCTCATGGTTCTGGTGCGGTCATTTGGTGACAGCTCTCTGGCAGGCAAAGTCCCTGGGCAGCACAGGGCTTCACATGGCAAGAGACCCAGTCAGACAGGCCGTGATAGCCTCTCGCTGTCACGCATGGGTCAGTCCATCCAGGAGGACAGAGCCCTCGTCACCTCTCAAAGGTGTCCTCACGTGGTCTGTGCACGTGTGGCTCCGTATCTTTCTGTGGGTCCAAATCCCATATGACACCAGCAAAACTAGATTGGGGCCCAGCCTGACTGCCTCAAATTAACTTAATTTCCTCGTCTCCAGACATGGAGAAACTACAGTTCAGAACTACAGTTCAGCCCATGACACTGAGAAACTTTAAGACTTTAGTTTCAGAGCTGGGCATGGTGGCACATGCCTGTAATCCCAGCACTCAGGAGGTTGAGGCAGGAGGATCGTTGTGAGTTTGAGACCAGCCTGGGCTACAAAGTGAGCTCAAGCCCAGCCTTAACTGCATAGCAGGACCCTGTCTCAAAAAAGACTAAAAAAAAAAAAAAGTTTAGTTTCAGTAATGGAAATGTATTTGATCGGCTTTCCATTGCTATGACAAGAGATAATCAAATTATGAGGAGGAATGATTTATTTTCATGCACGGTTTCCATGCATGGTCACTTGGCCCTGTTCCTTAGGGGACAGGGTCCCTAAGGAAAAGCTTAGATTAGGGGGCACAGAACATCATGGCAGGGAAAAAAAAAAATCATGGCAGGAGCACCTGGGAGAAGAAAGCCGTCCACCTCATGGCCACAGGGAAGCAGACAGCGAGGAAGGGGCTGGGTCCCCGTGTACCCGGCAAGGACAGCTCTCCAGGGACAGAACTACTTCCCACTGGGCCTCATCTCAGAGGTTTCACACCTCCCAACCCACCTCTGTGAGGACCACGCATGAAGATTTGGTTCATTTACTTTCAGAAAGCACAGTTCTGGTCTCTGCGAAAACTATTGCAGAATTCTTACCAGACTGCCAAGGAACCAGAACCACGCAATTCACTCACTTCACTACAACAGCCCCACTCCCATCACCAGCAACTGCACGTCTACAAGCAGTGACCTCACCAACACTGTCAATGGATTGTGTTAAATAGAAGGTGGAAATTTCTTGATGGGAGAAAGCTCCAAAAGTGGGTATCTCCATTGGGAGTCTATTTATATGAAACTCTAGAATATTCATTCTAATCTCCAGTGGGTGCCGGGGAAGGAGAGGTTCCCAGGTGTCACAGGGAAACCTGTGGCGGTGATACATCCCTTCATGAGTTTGATGTGCACACATTAAAACATCGAATTATACTTCTTAGGTATGTGCAGCTTATTTTAAGTGAATTATACCCAAATACAGTTTTTTTTAAAGCCAGCTTTATTAGTGATAAAAACTGGATTAGAGGGCTGGGGATGTAGCTCAGCAGCATAAGCACTTGCCTGGCAAGCCTAAGATCATGAGTTCGATTCCTAGTACAAAAAAAAAAAACAAAAAAAAACAAAAACCCTGGATTAGGTTATGTAATTTTAAGTACACATTCTTCTAAGTCAGAGCTCCCAACCACTTCCTCTGCTGCACTGCCAGACTTCTCCAGCAGGGGGTGGCCTGCCTGCTATGCAGAGTGATCTGCCTAGAACCAGAAGCAGACCGGAAGCATCGAGCTGAGCAAGCACAGTTCCTCCCCAAGGCCTGTGTCATCAGGGGGTGACGCTAGGCTTGGGGGAAGAAAAATACAATTCTAGAAAAGCCAAATAAGAAAACATTTTAGGCTTTGTAGACAGTTCCTGTCAAAATTTTTTAACTTTGCTAAAAGAGCAACCATGTAAATAAGTGAATGTGGATGTGTTCCTGTAAGATTTTATTCAATGGACACAAATCTCCATTTCATACAGATCAAAAGAAACAAAATATTTATTTTTAATTATTTGAAAACCTAAAGCTCCCTTTTTTGGCTGCCAGGGAGTGAGAAAGCAGGCTACAGGTGAGTTTCTGATCCCTACTCAGGGGATTCCCTCTACATGAAAGCATTAAAAAAAATATTCCCCCTTAAAAACAGCATTACAGAAAATACAGACACTTTTATGTAGATTAGTATATATATTTAATAGTGTTATATTAGCAGTCATACCTTGCCAACACATGAGGAAAATCATACATTTTCAAGAATAAAACCAAGATTTAGAACAGAGCCCATGATAGCTTGGTCACACTCAAAAAGATGAGCTCCTCCCCACCCTCGTGGGGACATGCCTGGCCTGCTGAGTGACAAATTGTCCTAAGGAGATTCTGTGGGTATAAACATGTGGGCTGCTAATGCAGGTTCTGCTCCTCTTTCTCTCAATCTAACTCAGCAACTATTACTACTTGTCAGCCAGTAAGCCCCTCACACTCACACTCTCTCCCTCACACTCTCTCCCATACTCTAGCAACTCATCTGTCTCTGTTTATCCAAAGCTCTTTGAGTGCTGCATCTCCTAAAGACCCTTCATGACAAGCAGCGCAAGACAAGGACTGCCAGGTGGCCATACCAGCTCGTGCCTGGGGCCTCTGATGAGGGTTGGGGTAAGGAAAGAAGACGCTCTTTCTGATCGCCACTGTGGTGTCTATCTTTTAATCCCCCAGAGATTCAAGGCTCCGGTATGGTGGGAGGGTTGGAGAGGCCAAGCTGAGATAGCCAGGGTAGAAAAGGAGGGAGATGTGAGGGGAGGGGTGGCCCAGCAGAGATCCAACAGGAGCCACAGGGGGGCACTTTCTCCCTGTCTTTTGCTCTTGGCCATGTTTAAAGCTCTTCCTCTAAATCCTAGGAACAGAACTCTCAGGGGGCCCTGACGGCCTGCAGATTTTCCCCTCCAACATTTGGGGTGGGAGTTCTTAGTGCAGTGGGGCAGGATGTGGCACCCCATTCCCAGATCCCTCACTCAGGGTGTGACCCTGGGCAACGCCGGCTGCACTGCAGGTCATGGAGCACATGCAGCAGGGCGCTCCTTAGGTGTCCACATCTGCTGCCACAACACTGGTTCTACTTCTCTCTTCCCACAAAGAACGTCCCAGGCATTACCAACGCCTCAGGACCATGGGCAGCTGGGGACCTGCAGGGGCCAATCACCTTGGCAGGCTTTTTCTTTTTAGTGGTACTAGGCACCGGAACTAGGTCCTTTGCACTGAGCCACATCCCCAGCCCTTTTTTATTTTTTACTTTGAGATAAGGTCTCGCTAAGTCACTAAATTGCCCAGGTTGGGTTCAAACTTGTGAATTCTCCTGCCTCAGCTTCCTAGAGTGCTGGGGTTAATGAGCATGCACCACTGAGCCAAATTACAATCCAGTTCATTGCTCTGGGTGCTACTTTGTGGGTGGAAATGGTTTAATTTTTTCCATATGTTTACAATAAGATTTAATAGAAAACTGTTTAATAAGTATCTTTTAGTTGTTGTTTGTGTTTTCTTTTTAAGTATTTTTTAAACATACACGGTGCAGATGTCTATATCCAGGTACCCTTTGGGAAGTACTTGTAGTCCGGAGCAGCAAGGCCATCGTGTTTCCATCAGGACTGGCTGTCTTCAGAGCTTCGGAACAGACACAGTCCCACAGTTATTACCCTTCTTCATGGCGGCCCAGTGGCACAGCCCACATTACATGCTTGATACGTGTTCCATGAGTTACTAATCAACTGTACTGCCCTTGGTAGAGACTGGAGTTGAGCGGCCTCAGTGTAGTTTGTTTTTCTTAGAGAGTGAAAAGACAAAGAATGTCAAATGCTGTAGTCAACTTTGTTTTTTTTTTTTTTGGTTTTTCTCCGGTACCGGGAACTGAACTCATGACCTTGCGCTTGCCAGGCAGGCGCTTTGCCGCTGAGCTAAATCCCCAGACCCTTTAGTCAACTTTGAATGGCCAAGTCCTGAAACCCTGCCTCCCTTGTCCCTGGAATTCAATTCTTCCTCAGCTCTGGAGGTTTCGGGAGAGCACACCCAGTGCTGGCTGTGGCAAAGGCATGGAAATGTGTCGAGCTCAGCACACAGACGGCTCAGCCACCCAGAGGGAAGACATCACACCCAGCCGTCCGGCTGCAGGTCCGGCTGGAGAAGCCTTGCTCGGCCAGCTGTCCTTGAAGGTGACTGCAGCTACCGAGGGTGACCAGCTGTCCCGACATCTTCCCTAAGGGTCTAGGTAGAGAAACAAGTGTTCGTCTTTATTTTAACATGAGCAATATGAAAGGGCACCAGCTACAAATTTACAAAACCCTTATGAGTATACACCTTAGGAGTTTTACCCAGCCTTTGTTCCTACGAACAAGCATTCCAGTTCAAAGAGCAGTATTTTGTTTCTTCTTCTATTGAAAACTCCAAGAAACCAGTCTTGCACTCCACAGGGGCACACACCCCGCCCTGTGGGAGGGGCAGCAAACGATGCTGCCCGGAGCTAGTGTTGCGGGTGGCCCGCCACAGAGCGGGGTCTGCTGCTTCAGTGCTGCACCATTATCTGTCCTTTGAGCAGTAGCTGAAGGAGGTGCCGTTCCCAACCGGGTCGTTCATGGAACCCTGGGCGTCGCCTTGCTCCATCCGTTCTCGGCTGAAGATGGTGTCCTGGTCGCTGTCAAACTCTGACTCAGACACCATCAGGCTGGAGTTGTGCTCTGTGCTGCAATGTTTAAGACCTGGGGAGAAGCAGCAGACTATCTTAGAAGAAACAGCATTGGTCACCTTCAGCCCTGTCCTTCTGGCTGCAGGTCACGTGAGGAGCAGGGAGTTGTGCCCTCTGACCTTCAAAGCAATTACCCACAATGCAGCAGGTGGGGGTGGGGTTCCTAGGCTGTAGTAGCAAGGGCTTGCAGCCCAGCTTTGACACTTGTCAGCTGTGCAACCATGGGGAAGGTACTTAACCTCCCTCTCGGGGCTTTCCTTTCTCCTCATTCATTAAACTGGGATGTAACAAAAGATAGGGAAGGGACGTGCAGTATTCAGGGGTTTAAGGTGGGGATTCAGCGAGCTAGCACCTCAGCGCATTGCCCCAGCCTTAGGTGCACAGGAAGTGCTCAAGAAAGGAGAGCCATTAGGCGTTTGTGACTGAGCTCAGTCAAGCGCTTTGAGTAAATTTCATTTCTTTTTTTTTTTTTTTTTTGGTTTTGGTTTTTTTCTGGTACCGGGAATCGAACTCACGACCTTGCGCTTGCCAGGCAGGCGCTGTGCTGCTGTGCTAAATCCCCAGCCCCCTAAATTTCATTTCTAAGAAATAAAAAGTCTTACATGAAACAAGACAAGACAAGCACATGCTGGTGGCTGTGACTGCTTTTCTCAGAGGCTGGGATTTGAAGAAAGAGAGGGACTTGGATAGGAAGACAGGGAAGGGGCATGGAGCATTCAGAAACATCCAGAAAGACGTAGAGAAAACTAGTTTGGCAAATGAGCTGGGTGTGGTGGCACACATGCCTAGGTCCCAGATACTCAGGAGGCTGAAGCAGGAGGATTGCTTGAACCAGAGAATTTAAGATCACCTTAGGCAATGCAGAGAGACCCTGTCTAAAGGAAAAGACAAAATCAGATGCTGGAGCATATGACTCACATGGGCAACAATGAAGGGAAGGCCGGGAGGCTGGAACCTTGCACAGCATAGGAGCACGGGCACACCAGACAGTTTGGGTTTTTACCCCGCAAGCATAGGAAGGACACGTGGAAAATACTTTAAGATAGTAACAGAACTACAGTGTGCAGGAGAAAGAGGTCCCTAAGGAACACAGGCTGCTGTGGTTCAAAAGGGCTGTCATTCAAAAATCATGTGTGTCACCCCAAAAAGGTGATAGCATGGAGAGGTGGGGCCTCTGGAAGGTGACACACAGGGCCAGTGTCCTCACGAAAGAGGCCCCACAGAGCAGCCCTGCCCCCTCCGCCAGGCGAGGCTGAGGGGAAGGTGCCCCTGTGGGGACAGACACTGAAGCTGCTGCCACCTCCACCTCGGACCTCAGGGCTCCACGAGAGCACCCGGTCTACAGCACTTTGTCACATGCCAGAGGGACTGAGACAGGCCGAGGCAGAGGACAAGAGGCCTGGGTCTGACGCAGGAGGCCAGCTGCACCCACCTACTCATTGCCAGACTTTCCTGTGCCTCAGTTTCCTCTTCTGGAAAATGGGAAAGAATCTCAGTACATACTTCACGGTGCTTAACTTAGTGGGATTAGAATTAAATGGGTAAAACGTGTTGAAAATACCCAGAATGCCTTCAGCATGGAATACTTGTTTAAAATTATTGTTATTACTGCTAGTTTAGAGGTCAGGTTAAAAGGAGCCGAACCAGACGGGCATAGTGGCACAGCCCTGTAATGCAAGAACTTGGGGGGCTGGGGATTTAACTCAGCGGCAAAAGCGCCTGCCTGGCAAGCGCAAGGTCGTTAGTTCGGTTCCCGGTACCGGAGAAAAACCAAAAAAAAAAAAAAGAACTTGGGAGGCTAAGGCAAGAAGATCACTGTGAGTTCACGGTCAACTTGGTCTACACAATGGGCTCAAGCCCAGCCTGGCTACATAGCGAGACCCTGTCTCAAAAGAACAAAACAAAACAGGAAGGAACTGAGCCAGGGTGCTGGGTGAAGACAATGATGAAGAAAAGAAGAGTGCAAGAGATGAGGTCGATGGGAGGCTGGGTAGGGCAGCGCCCGGGTGACCAAGGTTCCAAACCTGGGGAAGAGGCAGAGAAACAGGACAGCATCCCAGGAGGAAGGTGGGTGAGATAAAACAACCCAGAGCACCTTGAGCTCTTAGGTATAAAGTTGCTATGCAATACTCTGGCATTAAATTGCGTGATACAAATGATGATCACTCAATAAACACACACTACTGTTCGTATTTCCTGTGTCATCACCTCCTAACTCCACTCTGCACGCACAATCGGCGGCCTTGTCAGGACCTGCCACACCCCCAATCAGATATAATCTCAAGCCTCCCTCAGGCCAAGCTCCTGCAGCCGGCACCAGGCTTCATGCCCTCATCTCCAGGGCTGCTTGGTGACCGTGCATGGGGCGGGCTCTCAACACTGCCACAGGACGACACTTTGCATCTCACCACCCTGCACATGATTTTGTCCCTCTGAAAGAATGAGTCATAAACCCTGAAGTAAGAAAATCCATGGGGTCAGTGGTACGCAGCCTCAGAGGGCCAGAGAAAGTGCATTAAGGATGCAGTAGTTAATAAATGCAGATCTAAAAGTCAACTGAGGTGGGCAAGGCACAGTTCTGAATGTGAGGATCAATGCGCTCTGTGAAGGGTCGATCTGCACAAGCATTAGCGAAGGCAGCTGCTGAAAATGCTTGCTGTTAAAGTCCAATGTCATCTGGCTGCAAATCCGGCCTGGCAGACTTAATGGGAATGGCATTCAGAGATGAGCTGGGGGAAGATGCGTGCCTGTCCTGCCTCCTTCCACGCACAAAGCACCGGCCGAGCACTGGGGCCCTTCCTGGGGAAGGCACTGTTTGCCCCGTGGCCACTCGGCAGGGACCAGAGTGGCAGACACTTCCCACCCCTCCCCCAGACGCCTCCAAGTGCTTTGCCAAATACCATCACGTTTCTGGCACAAAGCTGCCCACCCGCAGCCCCTCCCCAGAGCATATGCTCAGGATCAAGGGCCATGGCTTTTTCTGCAGACCCCCGGGTTCTACCCTCCTCATTCACGTGCTGACTACGGTTTATTATCCTTCTTTAAACCCAAGTTAGTGCTGGCCTAATACCTGGATTCCATAACCTGGGATGGTCTTACCGTACTTGGGCCTCAGTTCCATTCTTTCCTGCTCATCCATGTTATCCAGGATGGTGTACTTGGTTTTTTTCCTTATTTTAATCCTTTTTCTTCTGAAAGGGACAATGGAAAGCTCAGCTCATGTTCTCGGAAAGGTAACCAAGATCCAGGATTTCAAATACGTGGAAGACACTATGGGAGGCGTTTTGCCTTTAGAATCTAACACTCTGTTTCACAACACCTTGTGGATGAGGCAGGTGCAAGGCCAGGTTAGAATGCGGTGGTGCTGGAGGGCATTTTGCAGAAACATCCTGCAGAAATACACTGGGGCATGCATGGTCGTGCCACTATCGCCCCCTAGCGACAGGTCTCACCCACGCCTGAGCCCCTCACAGCAGCCCTCAACATCTATGGTTGGTCCACAGTGTCTCTCCTCAAGAAATTCCGCACTCACGAGACCTGGGTGGGTAAGTTCTCCCCTGACTCTACAGTGGCCTGGAATGTTGAAAGCTGCAGGAATGAAACTAGAGACGGTGGGGAGTGGGGACGGAGAGACGGCGGAAATCATAACACAGTGAGTTCCCAGAATTATTTAGCAAAATCCAGTTGTTGCTTTTTTTCATAGCACGTGAAAACCAAGCTGGCCCTATGTGCCTCATTCTATGCTGCAGGGGATTAATTGAAAGTACACATCAACCCATCCTAAGGCACACAGAGAGCAAACGGGAATTTCAACTTTCTGGTCAGGTGGGGATTCAGACCATGGGCCCATCACCTCTGATTTAGCACTTACTAGCTGGTGACCTCAGAAAATTATTTCAGATTTCTTTGTCTCCTTGTTCTCTCCTGTAAGGGGGCATAAGAGCCGTCCCTTTCCCAGATGGCTGCAGGGAGGACACGGTAATATATAGAAAACCCTCAGCCAAGAATCGCAAGAGAAAATTCTTACTACATATCCTTAGCCCTCACTGCTTTGCCGCCACCAGCGTCTGCCTGCTATGTCTGACACAGAGCTGCGCAACGCTGAAGTCACGCCCAGTCGGTGACACAGGCACCCGCAGGTGCTGCAGAGACTGACTGGGGTTTAAGCCTCTCCCAGGGCGTGGCTTTCTTCGCCAGTCACTCTTGGGAGCATGGTCACAAACAAATCTAAGGTAAGTCATAAGTGACTTCTGAAAGACACCTATTAATTTTAGTACACCTATTATTTTGAGCACATCATTGAGAGGGTTTACAGTGCGTTGTACAGAAAAATAGGCGCAATGTTCTCTTCTGAGGACTGAAATAATTACTGTGCCTACAAATCTCCTCAAGGAAGGTGCAGCACGAGGTTCTGCAAGATTCAGACCATAAGAGGGCTCAGGGGCTTCTCAGAGGTCAGCTCTGAGGAGAAAAGAAGGAAAAACACCTAAAGCGAAAGTTCTCTGTGGTGGTATTACTGCCTCGCTTCAAGTTTTAAATGGACTAGAAAGGATCCGAATAAATCAGATTGTTGGTTCAAATAATTAAAAATCAAAGTCTACCTGGGATACCAGCATAGTTCTAGAACTCCTTTCCCTGCGGAGACCGGCAGGGGCCTGAAGTGGGGCTTGGGGAACTCATTTCACACTGAGGACGCACAGCGGCTGGCCCTCTCCAGATCTGAGCGCTGGAGGACAGAGCCGCCCCCAGGAAGGAGCCATTCACTTAGGCCCACGTGCCTGCGGCAGAAAGTGTCAGTCCCACAGTTTAGCGGTTTCACAAATCCAAGCAAACAACGTTTGAGCTGCACCTAGTGAGAAATACGCACGCCAGGTACCTCTTGCAGCAGCAGATGCAAAACCAGGCTATGCCTCCCAGGAGCACCGCCAGAGCAGAAGCCAGCACCGCCACGTAGAGGACGCTCCACTCTGAAAACCAGAACACCAGAGTGGACAGCGTTAGATGCTGCTTGCAGAACACCATTGTTGTGATGACTGACAGGAAATGCATCCGAATCCTCCCAAGCAGAGGCCCTCAGCGCTGACACCACCTGGGGACGGGCTGCAGAACACAGCAGGGCAAGACACAAATACATCAAGAGTGATCCTGCTGCCTTGCCCTGGCTCTGCATTCAGATCAGGGGCCTGGCAGAGCACATACTATTCTCGAGAACAAAAGCAGTGCACATGAATCAAGGAAGTAGGAATGCCTCTTAAGTGCACGCATGGGCCACATCAAAACCTTCCTTCCAGAGTCCCGAGAATCACAGCCCTCCCCTAAAAGTTCTGGCCTGGTCTTAACAAAGCCACTGAGTGTCTGCGTGGCTGCCAGCAGCACAAACACAGTCAAGAGATAAAGGGCAACGCGGAAACGCCCTGATCCTCAGGCCTAACTCGTCCCTGCAGAAATCTGACGTAAAAAGCTTTGCATCAGCGTCTCAGGCACCGAGAAGCTGACGGAGGGAAGACTCAGGCCTGACCTGAGTCACTGCTTAGAACACTGCTTAGAACACTGCTTAGAACAGTGACTCAAAGCTGGTTATTTGTGAATTTAGCCACAAGTCTGTGCGGCATTCACAGGAACATCATTTGGCAGCCAGCTCTTACCTTTTCTCCTGCCCACCTGGATCTCCAAGACAACCAATGTACTCTTAGCAGTGGACTGGCAAGGATATGTCATTTTAGCCCCCAAAAAGCCTGTAGGGCCCCAGTTTGGCATCTGATGCTGGGGCTTGAATCTCTGGTGCTGGCTTGGGTAGATGCTGGCAGTGGTCTGGATTTTTTTCTTTGGTTCTGGTGGGTCCACATGAGCGGACCTCTGGGAACATGGAGCCCCGCCCACGTCGGCACTCACCACAGTTGCTCTCCTCGTCCCACAGGTAACGCTGTACGGGGTTCTCCATCCACAGTGGGGCGCACACGCAGCGCTTGGTGATGGGGTCACAGTGGCCATGGCCAGAACACGTGAGAAGACAGCCTGCAAAGAGGTGGCGGGCTGAGGTCACTGTGGAGGGAAAGAATCCCGGGTTCCTCTTCTTCTGTACCTTCAATGGCACGGGCCCTCGATGCTGCTGAAGAATCTCTTATGGTGTGGGCAGGGGTTCCAGGAATCACTTATCCCCAAGATTCTCACCAGCAAGCAAAGAGCAGAGAAAGCTAACACACAACACACAGCAGAAGCCTTACAATGCAGCAAAATATCCCAGTACCCTCTGGCCTGAGAAAATGAGCTCTAAGAAGTCATTCAGTAAAAATAATTGAGAATATGCACAAGCATTTATTTATATTATCATACTATTTAAAATCAATCTTTAAGTCCAAGCATGGAGGCTGACTGCATAATTAGCAATCATCGTCCCAGGGAGGAACCATGCAGTCCTAAAACATCTCACTAAAGAGATATCTGATCATAATATGATTGAAGGGAAATGATCATAATATGATTTGAAGTTAAAAAAAATTAAAATATATCAAACCATCCTGATTATATTACATGTTCCTAGAGATGGAGCAATTGGAAAAAAGTACATCAAAATATTAACAAAAGTTCTTTGGATAGTGGGAATTCTAGACTTTACAATCCTGAGGATTACTGTCTTCTTTAAGCCTTTCTGGATAAGTCAAATTTCCTAAAATAAACAAATATTGTTTTGTAGCTAGAAAAAAAATGAAGTTATTTTAAAAATTTAGTCTACATTATAACCGAGAAAGTCAGTGGTAGCTTGACATGTATTTGAAACACATTAAATTTACTGATCAAACATTGCTGTGGCCCTTGTAACTCTAGCTGAAATGACCACTTTGGTGTAACATTTACTCCTATGACTCAGGAGATGAGGACAAGGCTATGAACTGTGAATGGGTTTGTTGTCCTAAGAGCTACAACTGAAAGACACCTATAAACCATCTTCAATTTTCAAAAGCTTTGGTCCATACTTGAAGTCCCAGCTACTCTGGAGGCTGAGGCAAGAGGATCATTTGAGTCCAGTAGAACAATGACAGCCTGAGCAATATGGTAAAACCCCATCTTAAATTTAAATATAATTTCATTTTGACCCATGACTATTACTGCTCTCCAGTTTCCTCCCAAGGCAAGTAGCTGGCAGATGTGTGCAGCAGAAACCTACTGGAGAAATAAAAGCAAAAACGAGTCCCTGGATGCTAAGGTGAAACTGCCCGCAGGTCACACCTCTTTCTGTACCAGTAAAACTCACCACTGGCTGGCAAGGCTTGTGCTTCCCGGATGTTCCTGTAGGGGGCGTACCTGCTGTGTCAATCCTCAAGACCTTGAAAAGCAGGAAGTTGGCCTTCTCCTCTGTGAGGCGCCTGTGCAGGTTCCGGGCCACCTGGGCAGCCTTGAGCACCTTGAAAGGCGGCCCGCTCTGGACATAAAACACAATCGCCGTGCTGCAGAGGAGACAGTGAGAGGAAGTCACACGGCTCAGACGCTGGGTCAGGGCACCAGGGTGTCTGTGGCCAAGGAACCCAGCAACTGTGTCTGTCCTGTTTGTCCCCAGTGCACCTGATAACACATAAATAGGCCTCCACAGACGAGGAGCAACGGGTGTGGGGCAAACACACCATGTTCACGAAATGGTAACTTCCTTTATTGATTCACTCATTCATTCATTCCTGTGCTGTGGGGATGGTACCCTGGGTCTCCTACATGCTGAGCACATGCTCCCACTGAGCTGCACCCAACCCTCCTTTGGCCTTTTTATTGCAGTATCACCTACATATCACAAAATTCTTCTTCCTAAAGTGTAACATTCAGTAGCTTTTAATATATTCACAAATCTGCACATCCATCACCACTGTCTCATTCAGAACATTTACATTGCTCCAAATAGATACCCCACACCCACTGCTTATTCCCCATTTCTCACGTGTGGTTTCTTTCATTTAGATGTTTTCCAAGTTAATCAGCATTGTAGTATTAATCAGTACTTCATTCCTTTTCATTGCCAAATAATATTCCATTGTGTGAATTTATCACATTTGTAGTCCATTCATCAGTTGCTGGATATTTAGGTTGCTTGAACTTATTGGCTATTGTGAATGGGTATTGTGAGTATCCACAGATAGGTTTTTATGTGAACATATATTTTTCCAAGTATGTAGCTAGGAGTAGCTAGTGGGTCATAGGTACCTCTTTCTCTGGCATTTTGAGAAACTGCCCAACTTTTCCAGTATCTGTACCATTTTACATTCCCAGCAGCGTCCTACAATTTGCCCACACTCTGGGACACCTGCCATGGTCTGTCCTTTGGATTCTAGCCAGCCTCACAGGTGTGAAGGGGTACCTCATGTGATTCTGATTCACATTTCCGTAACGGGTGAGGGAATGAGCATCTATGCCCGGTGCTCACTGGCCACTCGAACATTGTTTTGGGAAGTATTTATTCAGGTCTGTGTTCATTTCCTAGGGCTGCTATGAAACAGTGCCATAGATGGGCGGCTTAATACAACAGAAATATCCCTTCTGTCACAGCTCTGGGAGCTGGGATTCTAAATCAAAATGTGCCCCCTGCCTGCAGCTCTGGTGTCACCAGGGATTCTTGGCTGACAGAAGGCTTCACCCTGGTCTCTGCTTGTGTCATCCCAGTGTGTTCTCCCCTGCGTCTCTGTGTCCTCTTCCTATAAAGACACCAGTAACGTTAAGAGCGCACTCCCACCATGATACTCCAGTATGACCTCATCTTAGCTAATGACATTTGCAATGACTGTTTCCAGATAAGGTCACATTTGCAGGTACTAGGGGTTAGGACTTGAACACATCATTTTGGGGCAAAATCTGACCCACAAATTTTTACCATAGATTTTATCAAATGCTTCCTCTGTGCCCATAGAAATGATCATGTGGTTTTATACTGGTCCACAGTTTTCTTTTGATGTCTTTGTCTGGTTTTGGTATCAGGATAAAACTGGTTTCACAAATTGAGTTGGGAAATATTGTCTCCTCTTTGGTGGGAGAAAAGTTTGTGAATTACTGTGGTTAATTCTTCAGTTTAAAAAATTCACCAGTGAAGTCATATGGTCCTGGGATATTGGGGAAATTTTTTATTACTAGTTCATTCTCCTTACTTGTTATAAATATACTTCATTTTTTTGGTTTCTCCTTAAGTGAGTTTTTGTAGCTTACATCTTTCTAGGAATTTATCAGTTTCATCTAGGTTATCTAATTTGATGATATATGGTTATTTATTGTATCTTCTTATTTCTTTTTTACTTCTATTACGTTGGTTGCAATGTTCCCTCTTTTAGCCCTGATTTTAGTATATTTGAATCTTCTCTATTTTTTTCTTGGTCAGTTTTGCTAAAGGTTTAGCGACTTTATTGATCTGTCAAAGAAACAGCTTTAGGCTTTTATTGATTTTCAGATATTTTATTAGTAAGAAAAATTTCATCTATGTATGTCAATATTTGGTTTGTCTCCGTGTATAAATTATAAGTATAGATCTCATGTATGGTTAAGGGTAGGACAGTAGTAGCCTTTATTGGCTCTTTTCTCGTGTATGTGCTACGAAGTGAGCACCTATTGGTTCTTATGGTATGTTGGTATCCAGTTTCTCTTTGACCTCTATTACTGCTGCTGATATTGTTGCCGTTGCAAGGATGGAACAGTTGTTATTATTAATTGGGTCTTATTGTCTGCCAGTGTCTTGTTTGTGTTTGTGTCACCACCACTACTGTGGTTCATTTCTGGAGAACCAGGTTCTAGGTCAATGTCACTGCAACCTCCGCTCTCAAATTAACAGAGGTAACGGATCTTGGGACAGAGGCAAAGATCTATAGTTAGCCACACCCTGAGTGCACCACTGAAAAGCAGACACTAAATAAAGAAATCTCCATACTTGCAGTGAAGTCTTTCTAGTATGATGGACCTGCAAACCTTAGCACAAAAACAAAAATAACAGAAACAAGAAAACAAGGCAACAAAATGCCTCCAACAACTCCCCAAATCTGATTCATGGGGCACTGGTGGGAAGGAAATGAAAAGCCAAACAGGTGAATTATGCGAAATGATAAAAGAGGAGAAAAAATACCAGATCAATAAGGTGCTCAGCGAGCTCAAAGATGATATAGCTGAACTGATCATGGACATAATAAAACCATCAGTGAACTTACAGAAGACTCTAATGAAAAGGTAGCTGAGCTAAACAAAATTATATGACACATGAATGACCAGTTTAGCAAAGAATTGTAGTCCAGGAAAAAGTACCAAACAGAAACCCAGGAGATTAAAAATTCTATTTAAAATATGGACAGCAGAAGTGACCAATGTGAGGACAGTGTCAATACTAGAAGACAGGGCTGATGCCCGTGACTATATACTATACTCAGAGACACCTAAAAACAAGAGAACATGGAAAATAGCTACTACATGGCACAAAGACAACTAAGCTAAGATTGACTAGAATTAGTGAAAAGTCAGAAGACAACAAAATGGCAAAAAAAAAAAACCCACAAAACTGTTTACAGAACTAAAACCAGAAAACTTTCCAAATAGAAGGAAAGAATTTAACGTACAGATAAGGTATATAGAAATAGCCATGAACAGAAAAGAACTCCACAACACATCATAATCAAAATTCCAGAGGACAGAATCTTAAAAGCTGTTAGAGAGAAACCACAACCTAATATAAAGGTAAACCCATTAGGAGTACAGGAGACTTCTCAACACAAACCTTAAGGCCAGGAGAACCTTGAAGCGTTTTAAGTCCTAAAAGGAAACAAAACTATCTTTAAGGAAACAGAACTTATACTGCAAAACTAACTTTCAAATTTGATGGAAAAGTAGTCTTTCCATGGCAAAGAGCACCTTAAGAAATTCATGACCACCAAACCAGCATGACAAAAAGTTCTGAAGGACATCTGCAAAAGACACAATGATGCCAAAAAGTCTAATGGAATGAATATACCAGGCAAGGTGAGTTAAGTAAAGGAATCAGCAACAGGAAGACAATGCAATCACAAGCATAAATAAATGCCTTTCAGCACTAACTCTCAATGTGAATGATCTCAATTTCCCAATCAAAAGACTGAGATAGGCAGTTTGGATCAAAAACAAAATCCAGAGGTATGCTATATACAAGAAACACATTTTATCTCAAAAGACTTTCACAGACTGAAAACCAAAGGATTGAAAACAACACTGCATATAATGAGAGCCTGAAAACAAGCAGGAGTACTACCCTGTCTTCAGACAAAATGGACCTCAAGCCAAGACTAATCAGAGAGACAAAGAAGGTCAATACATATTGGTTAAAGGAATAATTCAACAGGAGATAACAACTATAAATATACATGTACCAAACATCAGCACACACAACTTCATAAAAAAAACCAGTTACTGCACATAAAAGATCAGATAAACTAGGCATGGTGGCACACACCTGTAATCCCAGCACTCAGGAGGCTGAGGAAGGAGGATTGACATGAGTTCAAGGCCAGCCTGGGCTACACAGTGAGTTCAAGGTCAGCCTGAACTACATAGTGAGACCTTGTCTCAAAAAAAAAAAAAAAAAGATCAGCTAGACATCAACACAAGTATAATGGGCAACCTCAATACATCACTGTCACAAATACACCAATGAGACAAAAATAATCAACAAGGAAATATCAGGATTGAACCAAACCTTTGAACATATGGACTTAATAGATGTCTACAGAGTGCTCCACTACCAAAAGCAGAATACACATTCTTCTCAGCATCACAGGGAACTGTCTCCAAAATAGGCCACAAACTGTCCCATAAAGCAGGCTTAAGTAAATACAAATGAATCAAAGTTATCCCATGCATATTATTAGGGCACAGTGCAATGAAACAAGAAATCAATGGCAAAAAAAAATCACAGAAATTATGCAAAGCCAGGTGTGGTAGCGCACTCCAGTAATCCCAGCACTTGGGAGTCTAAGGCAGGAGGACTGTTGCGAGTTCGAGGCCAGCCTGGGCTACAAAGTGAGCTCGAGGCCAGCCTGAACTGCACAGTGAAAGTCTGTCTCAAAAAGACAAAAAAAAAAAAAATTATGCAATCACATGGAAATTATATAATACCCTCTTGAATAATCAGTGGGTCTCAGAAGAAATCAAGGAAGAAATTAAGACAGTTCCTAGAATCACATGATAATACCAGTACAACATACCAGAACCTATGCAACACAATGAAAGCAGTACCAGAGGGAAATTTATCGCTGTGAATGCCCACATCAGAGAAACAGAGCAAACTCAAATAAACAACCTAAGGATGCACCTCAACATCCTAGCAAAAAAGAACAATCCAAACACAAACTAGTACAAGAAAGGAAATTATAAGGAGCAGAGCTGAAATTAATGAAACTGAGACTAAAAAAATACAGAGAATTAATGAATCAAAGACTGCTTCTTCAGGAGAATAAACAAAATAGACAAACCCTTAATCTTATAAAAAAAGGGAAAGACACAAATCAATACAATTAGAAATAAAAACTACAAAATTACAACAGATTCTGCCAAAATCCAGATGATTAGTAATTACTTTGAAAACCTGTACACCAATAAATTGGAGAATCCAGAAGAAATGGAGACTTCTAGAGACATATGAATTACCAAAACTGAACTAAGAAGATATAAAAACCCTGAATAATATAATAACAGGCAAAGGAAATAATAATAATAATAATAAATCTACCAACTAAGAAAAGCTAAGGACCTGGTAACTTCACCACTGGATTCTACAAGAACTTCAGGGAAGATCTAGCACCAATAACTCCTGGGAAGGAGTACTAATACTGTCACAATAGCCATAGTACCAGAACTGACATACAGATTTAATGCAATCCTAATCAAAATACCAACATTATTCCTCACAAAAGTAGAAAAAAAATGCTCAAAAAATTCCTAAAATTCATATGGAACCAGAAGAGACACAAAATAGTAAAAGCAATTCTAGGCAAAAAGAACAAAGCAAAAGGCATCACAACGCTGGATTTCAAGTTATATTACAAAGTTCCAGTGATAAGAACAGCATGGTACTGGCACAAAAACAGACACTCAGATCAATGGAACAGAAAAGGAGACCCAGAAACAACCCCAGGCATGTTCAGCCATTTGATCTTTAACAAAGGAGCCAGAAGCACACACTGAAGGAAAGACAGCCTCTAACAGATGGTACTGGGCAGGCTGGAATTCTACCACTGACCCGCCAATGCAACAAATGGTATTAGGTCAACTGACTAAACCCATGCGGAAGATTGAATCTAGACCCCATATCTCACCAAGTGCTACACTGAAATAAAAATGGACCAGAGACCTACATATTAAAGCAGAAACATTTAATCTGCTGGAAAATAAAATAGGTAAGACTCTTGAAGACATAGGCATAGGCATAGGCAAGGACATTCTGAACAGAACCCTAATTGCACAAGAAATAACATTAAAAATCCACAAATGTGATCATATCCAATTACAAAGCTTTGGAATAGCAAAGGAAACGATCAACGGACTGAAGAGACAACCTACAGAATGGGGGAAAATTTTCTCAGCTACACCTTGTGCGTGGGACTAATATCTACAATTATTAGACTTATCAAAAAATTGATTAGATTAATAAAATTGATTAGACTCCGCCAAATAAAAGATCCTCAAAAAAATTAGTATCTTCAAAATAAAAGGTTCAATCAAAAACTGGGCTGAAATGAACACTTCCTGGAAGTACAAATGGCCAATAAATACCTGAAAAAGTATTCAACATTGCTGGCCATTAGAGAAATGCAAATTGAAACATACTGAGATTTCATTTTACTCTAGAAGGAATGGCTATCATGAAGAAATCAAATAATAAAAAATGCTGGAGAGGCTACGGAGGAAGAGAAACTCTTCTGCATTCTTGGTGGGCGTATAAACTAGTACAAATGAACATCCATATGGAGATTCCTCAAAAAACAGAAAATAGAAATTCCATTTGACCCAGCTATTTCCCTTCTAGGTATCTTGTTTTTGTTTTTGTTTTGAGCCAAGGTCTCACTATGTAGTCCAGGCTGGCCTTGAACTCACTATATAGCATAGGTTGACCTTGAACTCACAATAATTCTCCTGCCTCAGCCTCCTAAGTGCTAGGATTGGCCAGGAACGTGGCTCAGCAGCACAGCATGTGCCTGGTAAGCATGAAGCCCTGAGTTAAATTCCCCATACTCCCCCAAAAAAAAATCATGAAAAAAAAAACAAAAACAGGCATGGTGGCGCATGCCTGAGGTCCCAGCACTCAGGAGGCATAGGCAGGAACATCACTAGGAGTTCAAGGCCAGCCTGGGCTACAAAGTAAGTTCAAGGACTGCCTAAACTACAAAGCAAGACTCCGTCTAAAAAACAAACAAAAACCAAGTGCTGGGATTACAGGTGTGTGCCACTATGCCCGGCTTCTTCTAGGTATCTTCCCAAGTTAAAGACATAATAGTGATACATGCACACTCCTGTGATACATGCACACAACTCATAGTAGCTAAATCTTCAAAGTGGCTTCTGTGTCCGTCAACAGGTAAAGGAAGACAAACTGTGGTATTTACACACGGTGAGTACTACTCTGTCATAAAGAAGGACATGATTGAGTTATTTATAAGAAAATGAATGCATGTTGAGACTGTAATGTTAAGCAAAATAAATCAGACACACAAGCTTAAATATCACATGGTTTATTTTATGTGGAAGACCAAATTATAAATAAACTAAAGCACAAAGCAATAGGTAGGTAATAGGAAACAATGAGGTAGAACTTTTGCCAATGGGAAGAGGAGTAAGAGATGGAGGGAGAGGTGAGCAAAGCAATAAAAAGAAAGAATGAAGATGTGTTATGTACACGTAGCAGCTTCCTACAATGAATGTAATAATTATGTTCTACAAACATGTACTAGTAAGGAAGTAAAAAAAAAAAAGGAAAACTGACTGCCCCACTTTAGAAAGAGCTATTAGAGAGCTGAGCATCTAGCTCAGAGGGAGAGTGCTTGCCTAGTATGTACCAGGCCCTGGGTTCAACCCATAGCACTGCAAAATAATACTAATACTTGCACATGTTTTGGTATTTTTCTAGGTAAGTCTCAGCTCTCTGGAAAACTGGCCTGAGGAGAAAAGCTGACGGTAGCTCACAAATGGAGCTGCTGTGAATGGTAGATTTTCATTCCCAGGTTCTCTCTTTCTCCTCCCTCCTCACCCCAGTCAGATAACAATGCAAAACTAAAAACTCCGTTAAATCCAAAAATCTTTTTTGTTGTTTTTTTGAGACAGGGTCTTGCTGTGTAGTTCAGGCTGGCCTTGAACTCATTATGCATCACAGGCTGGCCTCAGACTCAAAGCAATCCTCCTGCCTCAGCCTCCTGAGTGCTGGGAGACAGGTATGTGCCCAGCAAATACAAAAACCTTGTAAGAATTAAAGGCCAGAGTTTCATGCGCATGTATTCCCAGAAGACAGCAAATGGAAGCAATGAACCTTTCACACTGAAAGAAACTTCAGTCCCTGTGAGCGTGCATCAGGGATAAGAGATAAAGTGTGGCAGTGATTCTTGGTCTTCACCAGCCCCAGGCTATTTGCATGCCCTCTGAAAATACCAGGGCTAAACATCAGCTCCCTCTCGTGTCCTTTAAGTCCTTTGTTCAGAGCATTTTCAATCTCCAAGCATTTACCAAACCTGATGGAAGGGCTTAGCATGATACTGTCCTTATTCTGTCTTTTGAGAAAAAAAAGAAAAGAAAAAGCCCATGAAAGGGATAAAGTATGCACAAGTAGGAGCAGAGGTGTGGGCGGTGTCCTGCTGACCCGGATGTGGGAAGGGCTGAAGCTCTGGGGGCTGAGGTCCTGCCCCAGGGTGGGCAGCCTGTCCGTACCTCAGATCCGAGTGAGCCTGGATCTTCTGCACCCTAATGTCCGAGTCCAGCACGCCCAGCAGCGTGGCCAGCTGCCGCACCAGGGTGTCCTTCTGCTGCTCCGTCAGCTGCCCGGCGCCCACCTGCAGGATGAGCTCCACCAGGCCGCCCTTGTTGGGGTCTGCAAAACGGGAGATGCAGGACAGTTGCTGGGAGCACACAGCTGGCTGCTGTGGGGCAAGTCCTGCATGCGGTTCACAATTACCCTGTGCTAGATCTGGCTGTTAGGGGAGATTCTTTTGGAGACCCTGGGGACCACTATCTGGGGGATATTTTCTGTTTTGTCCCAGTTTGTTCTCTGTTCATTTCTTTCCCAGAAGATACACAAGTGTGTCTAATTAGCCTCGGCACCAACTCCAAGCTCTGGTCCCTCACACAGTCCCCCATGACCAGAAGGGGAGCTCTGTCCCTGGCACCATAGGCACTGCCCGGCTGGTCACACGGGGACGTCACAGCCCCTTACTGAAGCTGCACCCACCCCAGCAGTCCCAGCACTGATCACTGTGTCCCTATCACATGAGTATTTTTATTCTGGCAGGAAAGCAGTCCTGCAAAGAAAATCTTGCTGCCAGATACAGTTCTTCTTAATGAGCTACCAGGCTGGATCTGTTCGGGAACTGCAGCAAAATTCATAAAAAGCCTCCCAGCAGGTGATGGCGAAAGCCAGGCCACCACAGGAGGCCTCCGTGCTGGGCCACAATGTCAGGAGCCAGGGCCCGAGCAGCAGCCCACTTGGGGAGCTCACACCCCACGAACGCACCTGGCCGCACCTCCACAGTGGCGGTGCCCGTGTCCGAGGCACCCTGCGTGTCGGTCACTCGCAGGCGGAAAGTATAGACACCCTCCACCAGATTTGCGAGCTGCAGGGCCACACTGTGGTCAGAGCCACCGATGACATCCTGTGAAATAACAGCGTTCACAAGCAGTTGTCAGCCATAGCATCCCAGCTTGTCACTCCCAAACCTCAGTTCCAGTCCTCCCTGTGTGCAGACTGTCAGGGAGGCAGAAGGGGCTGGCGAGTAACCTTCAGCACCTCCTCCCTATGGTACCCACCGCACTGAGGCCACCATGCACCTTCTAGTAATTACTGAGTGATTAGTTTCATCCAACAGAGAGGAGGGCTTGACTTGGGTAAGGACCCCCAGGGCGAGGCATACATCTCATGGGTCTTATTTTCAGATGTTTACAATTCTGTCATCTTGGGTCTCCTCAAAACATTTCATATTTACCCTTTCAAATCACTCAGAAGCCTGGGGAGAAAAGTCACTGTTCTGTGGACCACGATGCTCCAAAGAATGAGAGAAGAGCTCATTTCCTGCTCTGCATGTGCAAACGCGAAAGGATAGGAATAAAAAGCTGGGGCTTTGCCAGACCCAGTGGACGAGGCCTGCAGTCTCAGCAATCTGGAAGGCTGAGGCAGGAGGACCACAAGTTTGGGTCCAGCCTGGGCAACTCAGCGACTTAGACCCTATCTCAAAATTGAAAAGTAAAAAGTCAAGGTTCTGGTCAGAAACCCATTATAGTTACACTTAAAAGTGATCTACCATCTATCTGAATGGATTAATTCTAGAAGCACTTTAGACAGCACAAAGCATTTGTACTTCCTGTGCTCCCCTTAGGTCCACCTCCAAGGGGATCTGCACATCCCAAGTTCTTAGCAACAATGGGAGGGGAGTTGTACTTAAATTCACAGCTTAAAAGGCAGAGGGATCTAATGGGGTCAAAGTGTCTTCCAGGAGCTAAAAACTTAACGCTGTCTGGATTAACGATGAGTTCATTCACCTTGGCAAAGTCACTTTCCATCTCCGCGTTCACTGTCTGCACCTGGGAAGCGGAGCAGCACAGCAATCCCTGACCTTCACACATACCAGAACACGAGGAAGAATCCACTTGGACTAAACAGGAATGACAGCTAAGCAGCAGAACACTTCCCACTAGAAGGCTTGGCTTCAAAGCCCTCCCGGGCCATGAAATGCTGCCCTCTCCAAAGTCTGGGCAAAGAAAAGTCTGGAAGGATCTGAGCAGTGCTTAAATCTGACAGCAGCCTGCTGCCGTCAGCCCTGGGAACACTGCAGTATAGAAACATACCACCTTCCTGGGGAGAGGAGGCCCTGCTGGAAATGCTGCTCTGGACCACAGTGTGTCCCTCGGCCGCCAGGACCATGCCTAAAGACAGACTCCATAAGGAGGTAAACTGAGGTTCACTGAGCTCACAAGGGTGGGCCCTGACCCGAGAGGACAACTGTCCTCACAGGAATTAGGGATGAGAGCTAGTGTCTCCACCTCCTCTTTGTCCCTGCCAGGCGAGGACACAGTGAGAAAGCAGCCATCTGCAAGCTTGGAAGAGAGTCCTCACGGGAAACAGAAGTACTGGAAGAGAGACCTCACCAGAAACAGAGGTAGCCTCGCACCTGGGTCTTGCCCTCCCAGCCTCCTAAACTGTGAGAAAACACACTCCTGTTGTTGAAGCCACCCAGCCCCGAGGGTTCTGCCGTGAGGCCCAAGCTGACTGACACAAATGCACAAAAGCAGATGGGGGAGACTCCCTGTGAGTACTCACTCCTGCGGCCGGACTCTGGCCATCCCGGATCCACAGATAGGACGCGATTCCTTGGTCATCAGTAGACCTTGAACCATCCAAAGTAATGGAGTTATTTGGAAGCACAAGAACATGTCTGCCACCAGCCTGGGCTCTGGGAGGACTATTATTTTCTAAGTCAAATACAGCAAAAATGAAAGCAAAGAAATTGATTTAAACCACTGGTGATGAACATGCGTCATAAACACCCATGACAACTCCATCTTGCAGATATGTCAATTTGAAATGTCTGTAAGATGTTATTTTTTGGCCCAAATATCTGTAAGATCATATGGACTTTATTAAAACTCCATGCTCAGCTGAGTATGATTTGGAATAAAAAAAGGTAAAGCAAGTAACAGGCTAGACATTGGGAAATCTCTAATGTTGTTACAGTTTTCCTCTCCTCGGAAAAAAGGAAATAATGATCTTACTTATGTTCAGTGTTTATAAAGTGGAACTCTTTTATTTAAAATATACTCCAGGATAAGGATAAGTGTGGCTCACTGGTAGAGTGCTTGCTTAGCATGTATGTGGGTGGGACTGATACCTAATACCACCAAAATAAATAAATAAAATAAAAAATATACTCCCAGCTGTATATGGTGGTGCGTGCCTGTAATGCCAGCACTCCGGGAGCCTGAGGCAGGCAGATCACAAGTTCGAGTCCAGCCTAGTCAAAATAGTGACTTAGTGAGACTCTGTCTCAAAATAAAAAATAAAAAAGGGCTAGGGTACAGCTCAAGGTGAAGGTTCTGGGTTCAATCCCCAGTGCTGCAAAATAAGACAAAACATACAGATATTATCTGTAAGAAATGACACCCTGGGTCATTTTTTACTGGTCCATACCATCTGAAATATTTTGATTTCTAGTGTTGCTAAATTGGTTAAAACTAGACTCTCACACCTCTGAGGTGTTAGAATAAACAAGGCCATGCAAGGCCAGGTCTAGGGTAACGCCCTGAGGGGGATGGGGCCAGCTGCAGGGCTGGGGTGCACTGGAATGGGCGGTCACCAAAACACAGCTTCCATTCGGAGAGGAGAGAGTGCCCCCTTGCACAGATAGGGCTCTGTAACCCAGATTCTCCTGAAAATAAGGCAAGTGACAGAAAACAGGGCAGGAACCGCCCAAGGTGCCTCCTAGAGCATCGTTAACACCCCAAGGTCCCCAGTCCCTGTCATCCTAAGGACAGACACTGCGGCTGGACCACAGATAACTGGAGCTATTCCCAGTCTTCCAGTTCCCTGGGCTGGGGGTGGACCTCAGGAGTAGGGCTCTTGCTTTGCACGTGTGAGGCTTGGGGTTCCTTCCCCAATACCACACACACAAAAAAGACATTTACCACTCTCCATTCAGACGTAGGATTTGGGAAGCACAGCAGAATGTGGCTCAGCAATAGCAAACCTATGGCGCTCGTGCCTCAGAGGGCACACAGAGCTTCCTCTGTCGGAAGGTGAGCCAAGTTGCCCAGCATCACCCCAGCAGCCGAGCAGGCACTTGGCACTTTTGGGCACTCGGTTTCTCAAAGGTTTGCCATGACTAATCTAGTGTTAAAGAGGCCTAATTCTAGGAAGACTAAGAAGAACAGAACTAAGCTGGCCGTAAACTGAACCCCAAAGTCCTCTGTTTAATCTGCATACGTGTAGGTCCACACCAGAACTGAGGACTCCACTCGCTTCTGTCTTGGACATGTCAAACTCCAGAACCCAGTCCTGAGGCTGCCCTGGCATAAATTCAATATATCCAAAGCTGAATGTTATCCCCCAAACCCGCTCTTCCATAAGCACAATTTCAATCATCACACCATCCACACCCACGCTACTGTCAGAGCTGCGGTGTCCTCAGCTGCCCGCCTCCTAACCCTCCATTATCTATTAGGTTCCCAAGTCCTGAGAATTTGGGCTCTCAACTGTCTTTCTGATCTATCCCTTTTCTCCCTATTTTCCCGCTGTTGGCCTCAAATACCCTCTAACTATTCTCCCGCTGGGCCTGTCTTCTCATCCATCTGTTGTGTTTTTTGTTTTTGGGTTTTTTTGTGGCGCTAAGGCCTCACACACGCTAAGCCTATGCTCTATTACTGACCCACACCCCTGGCCCATTTCGTCTTTTTAGAAATCCAAGTCTTCTAGCTAAAAATTTAGGGGTTGTTTTAAAATGCTCCAACCCAAATAAACTATGAACTGATAAACAAATCAAGGCTGGCCAAACAGAGACTGTTGTTACAGCTGGATGATGGGCTACTGATGATCTGTTCAGACTGTACTCAGTACGGTCATGTGTGGTTAAATTCTTCTGCGATAAAATGTTTGGGGGCAAAACCCCAATCTGATAAAATGCCATCAGCCCCTCCTAACTGCCCAGGGGATAAAGCCCAGACTGTATGGTGACTGACGGCACATACAGCCCTTCCCTGCTGAGCTCAGTCTCAGCCCCCGGCAAGCCTCTCTACTGTCCCCAAACCTAGCACGTGAATTTTTCAGCCAGCCACATGCTTTACTTCCCTGTGCATAAACATGTTGCAGTCATCATTCATTAATTCATTCAACTGACCAACAATATGGTTTTTCATGGGTCTAGTTCTGCACTATATGAGGACAAAGAGATGTTTGAGGCAAAGGGCCTTGAAGAGCTCACAGTTCAGATGAGGAAACAAGTACCCAAAGCAGAACTGCACAAGTCGACCCAACAGATTTCACAGTAAGAAACAATATAGGACTTGAAAACATTTCTGCTCTTGAATTTCCAAGGAACACAGAGAGCAAAGCACAACAGTGTCATAGAGATATGGGTCTTTAGTCACCACTGTGAGGGAAGTATAGCTATTAGACGATGCACTTCACAGACAGAAGGAAATGGTCTCTTTGCAGAGCTGATCTGAAGACAGCTAGCAGCAGTAGACGAGGGTTGTGCTTCTGGATTAAGCAGAGTTCGGCCTCTGTTATGAAGATGTAAACCGTTACCAGCATCTTTAAATAACGGTAGCCTGGCTTACAGTGGGGCAGGCCAAGCCCTCCTTGGGTCGGGGCCACTCACCCTTCTTCACGGCCACGGTCAGGGTGGACATGCTACTCAGTCCCTGCTGGTCCTTCACTGTTAACCGGAAGTGGTGGGTACCCACCTGGAGGCCAGTCACTGTGGCTACTGCCGTGTCTCCGTTTGCCATCTGCACTGCGCTGGGGCCTCTGTGAAACACCAAAGTGATAACAAAAAGGAGCAGGCAGCTGTGAATATGTCAGGGCTGTGATTCGTGCCCTCCCAAGTACTCTTCCTAGACAACTCTTTATTCACTTGTATTCTCTAGCTCAGTTAATAGGAGCCAAAGCCTATTTCAGGCAGAGCCTGGTACATTCCTAGGAAGAGGAATTTTTGTTGTTGTTTTTTTATTTTTTTCTAATTGGGCTGTTAGTGAAATGCTCTATCTTTGGAACATTGAATTTTGGAAACTACTTCTGTTTCTTTGAGTAAAATCAGGTTACCTCCCCATGCGCCTTTAGGTGGGGTATAGAGGAGGAGGAAATGGACCCAAGCAATGCATCTCCTAAAGAGAATCACAGAAGAGTCACAGATCGTAAGCTTGGGAGTCAGAAAGACCTAGAAGTGCACCCTGGCCCCTTCTCTTCTGATCTGGAATGTTAGGCCTTATGATCTCTTTGGTCTCTACAAGCCTTGGTTTTTCAACTTTAAACAGGAAATGGGATTAGCGTGTCTATTAAACACTAGATACAGGATGCTATGAGATTGAGCTGTGAAGTTCAGAGAACATCAGGGAATCTGAGCATCCCTTTAAGCCCTGCATTTCTGCTGTCCACAGTGCCTGCAGGACAGGCTGGTGTACTCAGGACAGGACCACTCACCCCAAAGCTCCCGTCCACCTCCCTGCCCACCTCTTCTGCTGTCAATGGAAGGCCATCTCGCCTATCCACATTTGACATATTCTTCCCATCATGCCCAGTTACTTCTAGAAATGTGCTTAAATCCTGACCAGCTCAAGCGGAGTATTTAGCCTTGATCTGCAGAGAAGGGGTATGGTCACTCAGGTGCAGTCGGGAACAGAGCGGCTGTGCTGACACAGACTACCTGACGTGCTCCCAGTGGTAGAAGACAATGCCGTGGTCGTCGCTGCTCCTGCTCCCATCCAGGATAGCACTGTCCACTGGGAAGACCAGTTCCTTATCAGGGCCGGCCACAGCCACGGGAGGCCTGTTGTCTTCTAGGAATGCAGAAACAGTGTGAGAAAGGATTCCCTCTTTGCATGCAGACTGCAATCTCGATTCCTTGATTTAAAAGCAAATTATTCATAGTGAGACCTGGTAGCTGCTAGGGAACAGTGTCTATTGGGAATCTTCGGGTGAAACATGAAAGTCTCCAGCTGACCCAAGAAGATTCTCAGGCAGGACCTGGGTCATGGGCAGCAAGAGGCCCTGGGCCCCACTGCACATGAGGCCAGAGTCTTTAGAAGACCTTCAGGGGTCTCAGTCAGGACACAGGGGAGCGGGGAAGCACAGGAGGAGAGAAAGAGGAAGGGAGGGAGGACGGGAAGAAATGGACATGATGTACAGAGACGTGTTTTTTCAGGCAGGGAGGACTTCCTGTCATCTTTAAAGCCCCACTGCCTGGTAAATAGCAAATGTGCAAATAACTTGGGTTAAGTGTTGAAGAAAGAAAAAGATACGAAGTATTACTTATAATGTTATTGTTATAAATAAATACAACTTTTGTTTTAAAAAACAAAGAAGCCATGTAGTCAAAACCTGTGGCAGCCACCACTACAGCACTCAAATGTGTTACAGTATTTTTTACAAATGCAAAATGAATAAGTGAAAAAAATACATAAGCCATTTCTAGGGCGAGGCTGTTCCCACCGCAGGACACCGGGACTAGCTGGCATCTAGTAGAAAGGCTCTAAGCACAGGCCACCATGAAGCCCACGCCTTGTTACCTGGAAGGCACCCCCAGTCTGTGGTGGGCAGGGTACTGGGTTTCCATGGCTCTGCAGACAGATAGGAGACTAAGCCAGAGCCAGTGCCCCCATGTTGTGCTGCACCTAGCAGCCTCCGCAGGGTCTCCTGGGGCTTGCTGTCACAAAGTGGGACAATGGGACACTTGCAGTACTCAGGATGGCTCTCATTATGTCCCATGTGCCACAGTTTAGAGACACAATCAAGATGAGATTCAGAACCCCCAAAGATAACTGTACTTAAATGCAGCAGTATCTCCCACAGTCCTGCTTCCTGACAGCTCAGAGACAGGAGCACCAAACTGGATGGATCTGAAGCCAGAGGCCCCATTATTTCATCTTGGGGACCAAATCTCATTTCCACTTCACCTACCAGGCTGCACAATCACGGCGACCTCCGCCGTGGACTGCTGTCCTGAAGAATCTGTCACCATCAGCTGAAACGTGTATTCCCCTTCCTGCATTGCAGACACGTGCAGGTACGGGGTCCCCGCTCCCTGTACAAGAGCAGACGACAGGAAAGAGGAAAGCAAAACGGAAGAGCAGTGTGAAAGCAGCACAGGTAGAAAGCATGACAACACAAACTGATGATTTTTACTCCACACAGAGACCCTGACGAAGATAAAGTATGTGGGAACCCAGGAAAATGTAATTTAAATTCCATCATGTGCTCTCACAGTCCTGATGGAATGAAAATTCACACAGCCTTTTCAGAAGCCAACACGGCAACAAATATTAAAGTGCAAAATGAGAACCTTCTTTTTTTTTTTTTTTTTTTTGTCTTTTTGAGACAGGGTCTCATTATGCAGTTCAGGCTGGCCTTGAGCTCACTTTGTAGCCCAGGCTGGTCTCGAACTTGCAAGGATCCTCCTGCCTCTGCCTCCTGAGTGCTGGGATTACAGGCGTGAGCCACTACGCTCAGCAAAATGAGAACTTTCTTCAGCCACAACTCCCCTTCTCAGTATCTCCTCTAAAGAAATGTACAGGAGGCTCACTGCACTCAGGGGGCGACTGAGGCAGTCTGTAACAGTGAGAAATTGAAACGAACTAAATGCCTATCAAGAAAGGGGCCACATTCCTGGGATACACTATGGAAGCCAGTTCCAAAGCGAGAAGTTCAGACTGGGGTATGTCTCGGGGTAGAGCATGTAGATGGCACGTGCAGGGCTCAGGTTCACTCTGGAGGACCAATAAATATATGAAGCTTAAAAGAACTGAGTAGGTTTATAGACACTGATATGAAAAACGTCAGACACATACTAAGCCAAAATAGAGGGCTGCAGAATAACACATACACTTGTGATAGGTACTGCTTTACATACAAACAGACACACACACACACACACACACACACACACAAACAAACAAAGGATTCCAGGGCACACATCTGAAAATGAGCTAAGTGATTATTTGTAGGCAGGAACATGGAGGACACTGGTGGTCAAGGTATATTTTTACCTTACCAGAACTTATTTGCACCAGTTTTTGGTTCTACTTTTTTGTTCGTGTATTACTTTTGTAATGAAAAATAACTTTTCTTTTTAAACTGAGGCCAAAATCCTCCCCCTCCCTCCCTCCCTCCCTCCCTCCTTCCTTGTTGCTGCTATGCTGCTGGTGGGAATAGTTCCAACTACTGCTTATGCTGAAAGTCTCCAGCCTCAAAAGAGCCTTTTAATTTGAAATCCTGTTACAATTTCTTTACTTTTATAGATCGCAAGGTTGTCTACAGAGAAATCTGTCTGCATGTTATTTCTTAAAGTTTTGATGGAAAATTGACAAAGAAAGTTGATAAATCAATTGTGTTGTCATAAGAGCAGCTTCTAAAATTTGAAATGCAGAAAGGCTTTTAAGAACTTTAAAAGAAGATGCCCCTCCCTCCCTCTCCCCCGCCCCCTCTCCTTCTCCTGCTTTCTCCAGGGCTCGAGATCAAGGCTGTGGACACATCAGAAGGAGAACCTAGTGGGAGGTCTTCTGGTCATGGAGGCACCCTAGAGGAGGACTGGGCCACCCTGCTGGCTTCATCTTCCTCTTGCTTGCTGGCTACCACGGGTGAGAGTGACTTTGTACTCCTTCACCTGGTTCCTACATTGCTGAGATGTGTTCTCTTGCCACAGGGCCAAATGACCACAGACTGAGACCCCTGACACCGTAAGCCAAAATAAAAAATTTCGCTTTATAGGTTGATTATCTCAGGCATTCGTTATAGATACCACAAAGTATAAGTAAACAGCTCACCCACATGTACACATAGAGCAAAGGTTTCAAAGTTATTAGGTATTAGGCAAATATATTTAAAAGGTTTGAGCAAGTCAAAATATAGCTATGAAGAAACTCTTAAGAAGAATTCACTAGAGCTGAGGGTCATGTTGCATGCCTGCAGTCAGATCACCCTGGGAAGCTAAGGCAGGAGGATCACAAGCTTGAGTTCAGCCTGGGCAATTTAGCCACTTAGCAAACCCTGACTCAAAATTAAGTGTCTAAGGGTGTTAAAAGTATCTAAGGGTGTAACTCAGTGCAAGAGCAGCGGGTTCAACCCTCAGTGACAAAAACAAGTGAGAGAGAAAGAGAGAGAAACAAGATAGCATAGAGTTTCTAAAATAGGGGAAACAAGGCCAGGTATGGCAGTGCACACCTGTAATCCCAGCACCCAGGAGGTTGAGGCAGAAGGACTGCTGTGAGTTTGAGGTCAGCCTGGGCTCTGTAATGAGTTCAAGGTCACCATGAACTACATTGAGAGACACTGTCTCAAAACAACAAAATAAATAAATATAAAATATGAAAAACAAAATGACATAATTTTCTTATAATGAAATTTAGTTACACTATTTCTTTTTTTTTTTTTGGTTTTTCTCCAGTACCGGGAACCGAACTCACAACCTTGCGCTTGCCAGGCAGGCGCTTTTGCCGCTGAGCTAAATCCCCAGTCCCTAGTTACACTATTTCTAAGGTTCCTTTCAGTCACAGAATATTTGTCTAACAACTGTTGGGTCAGACTTCTTGAAACCTGATTTCAAGATCTAGCTGTCAACACAAGGTCACTTTGGTTGGTGTTCTGTGCTTGTCTAATTAAGGATGGGAAAGGGATATACTGTAAACTTAGAAAATTTGTGTGTTCAGTTGCTCTGTTTGTTTGTTTATTTATTTATTGGTATCAGGAACCGAACTCAGGACCTTGCACCTGCCAGGCAGGCGCTTATGCCACTGAGCTATATCCCCGGCCCTCCTCTGTTAGTTTAAACATCTAACAGAAAATCTTACAAAATAGACTTTTTATAATTGCCCCCAAACTAATATATGACTGAGAGAAACATGGATGAATGCATGGATGGGTGGATGGATGGATGGGTGGATGGGTGGATAGACGGATGGATGGATAGACAGATAGACACACAGACAGACAGATGTGAGAGACAATGAAATTCCGTAGGCAGGCTGGGGAACTTGCCTGCATGGCCACCTCTTTGCTCTCACTGCCAGGGCCCAGGGACCACTCATAGAGCACAATCTGGTGATCATCACTGCTCTGGTTCCCGTTCAAGGTGATGGCATTTTGGGGCAAAGTGATGGTCTGATTTGATCCTGCATTGGCAACGGGCGGATGGTCCACAGCACTGTTGACTATCAGGGTGGCAGTCGTGGAGCTAGTGGCCCCATCTGAGTCTGCAACAGTCAACCTACAAAAAGAAGAAGTGGTTCCATTGCAAGAACATGCCCAGTCCTAAGGAGAGCAGTCAGGTTAGCCTGTTCATGGTTCAGTTTTCAGAAGAGGTATAGACAGAGACTTGAGGATGAAGCTGAGAAAAGCACACAGACTTGGGGATATTTTTGTCTGCTTTGCTGCTTGCTTAATTTATTTGTAAGTCAGAACATACTCACACTGAAGCTTAACCTTTATGGAATTCCATGCGGTCTTTGAGATGCTGGGTGGAGAAACTACCCTCCGCTAACACGGAAGCCACGGCCCTCTAACAGCTAAGATGAAGAGTGTTACCAGGGTAGGTTCTGCCTTCAGGCTTGGGCATTCAGAGACAGGGCACAGGACATGAATTTTCAGCCGCACAGCTTTTAATTTTTAAGTTCTTTTCTAGAGGACTTATTGTATCATCAAGATTCTTTGAAAGAAATTTTAAGATTAAACAATTTCAAGGGGCCGGGGCTATAGCTCAGCAACACAGCGCCTGCCTGGCAAGCACAAGGTCCTGAGTTTGATTCCTGATACAAAAAACAATTTCTCAGATAAAATGATTTCAAGTGTGAACTGATGTTCAACCCTCAAATAGAAAAGTAAACCCCACTGGCCCTCTGGTAGCAAATGGGTTCCTGGTGCAAAAGGAGAACAGTGAAATCACCAAAGGCCACGCTGCGCTTCAGGGTGGAAGAGGGCAGCGGCAGCGGGTGCAAGGGTGGTTGCTAAATAGTGTAAAGAACAGGGTGAGAATGAAGCTCCAGGAAAGGGCGGCCCGAGGGAAAGCAGGTGCATGGGGTGCCTCTGCGTGCTGGGCTTCCTGTCACGCCATCCTGCACAAGCAACACAATCGAAGGCCACACTCCACACTGCTCAGCTCCTAACATCTAGTACTTCTAGTACAGGGCCCTTCCTTCTCAGTCAGGCTGAGTCAGGACAGTCTCCAGGGAATTTCTTCCTGGGCTAGCAGCAGAAACCTGACTCAAATACACAGAGAAAAGCTATCAAATGAAAATGAATAAAAGCATCGAATAAAGTGGCATATCACCATATATAAATTTACCTCAATGAAGTGCTAGAGAAATAATCTTCACAATATCTTTTTTGAAGTCTCCTTGGACTTTTTCTATCAGAAAGTTCCCACAAATCCATATTAGCAAAGTTCTCAGATGAAAAAGTTGGTAAGAATTTAGTAAATGTATCAGATGTCTTTAAAACATACATACCTCCAACCCAAAAATCCTACTTGTACTCCAAAATTTTACCATGAGGACATTCAAATGTTAAACAGCAAGGCTGAACTAAGAAACTATACTGTATCACTATAGTATCCTACATGATGTTGCAGACTATTCCATAGCTTGATATTCACGGCAAACTGCTTTCTCTTCCCACTTTGATATCACATTGGCTACGGCAAAAAGAAGAATGAGGAATATACACACACCTGGCTGGATTCTGTTACCAGGTAATATCTGTACCTTATGCTCAGCTTCCAAAGGAACTGTCTTCCTATTCATTCCCCTCACAATCATTCACAAACCTTCAGGGTGTCTACCTTCTACAGGCAAGGGAGTACGTAAGTTCAGAAAGTCCTCCTTCCCCTTTACCCCACACACTGAAATAGGATCCAACACCAAGGGAACGAAGTACTGATCCAGACAACAGCATCAATGAACCTCAGTCATTTGCTGAATGGGGGAAACCAGGCAAACAGTAGTAAACACTGTATGTTTCCATTAATACAAGTTCTAAAGACAGCACTGACAGAATAATTCACAGTGACAGAAAGCAGTTCTTGCCTGAGGATGAGTGCAGGCAAAGATGCCCAGGAAAGGGGCATGAGGGATCTGGGGGGCAATGAGAATGTATATTATTTCAATTAAGGTGATGGTTTCACAGGTAAACACCTGTGTCAAAATACATCAAATATTATCCTTTAAGTATGCACAGCATACTGTACTTCAGTTAGACCTTCAAAAGTTGTAAAAAGGAAAAGATTCAAATAATTATGTAATTAGCAGACAATCATACACCTGTACCGGACCTTGACTCTGAAGAGGCAGACTTTGTTGCTAGTCACTCAACAGACCAAGAAGAGGCTATGCCTGTACTATTCCCGACATCTCCAACCAGGAAACAGGTACTTTTCATGTGAATTGATGAAGATAATCAGTCTACACAGGCAGCTATCCCACCCCCTCCCCAAGAAACCAAATCAACCTTGCGTCTTGATCCAAACGAAAAACAGCCCTTTCAGAACATCAAGTTAAGCCAGTGGTCAAAACATAAGCAGTGGAAATCACATCAAAGCGGGGCCCACTTGCCTGAAAGTATAGTTACCAGGAACGAGGTGAGACAAGTATAAGACGGGGGAATCAGCAGAGGTCTTCTCTTCTAAGAAGGGCCCGCTAACTTCTTCCCAGTGGTAGCTCACTATTTCAGTATCATCTGTACTTTCTACAAGATTAACAGATAAGAACTAGAATGAAACACAAGAAGAGAAAAACAAACTGTATTTATTGCATACAGACGCTCCTCATTTAAGCACTGACTTCTGTCCTTGCCACTAGGTCATTCACTGAATTGGTCGCTAAATTGGGATTTGTGTAAGTATGTAAGGTACAATATTCAGAACGAAGAAATAGTCAGGGAAACTCCAGCCTGATAACTTTGCTTTTATTTACATAACTCTTACATGCATTACTGTAATGTAAAATAGAACATAAAATTACTGTACTGCATAGTATGACCACAAAAATGACAGTACTGTATAAAGAAGGTATACTATATAAAAAAAAAAAGATATTGAGGCTTTATAAACAAGATGTACGGAACTGTACAAATAAAAAGATGAGTTGTAGGTCCAAATAGCATGTCTCAGTCATAAGTTCAACAGTAGTTAAACAGGTAAGGTATTAAATGAGGAATATCTGCAGTTAATTTCATTTTTATATGAATTATACACTTGCACAGATGGCAAGCGTATATTATATAATGGAAAGAGGGAGATGTTTTCCAACTCCCCACATTACCAGGACTCTTTTTCTACTGGATCTGCACCAAATCTGAGTGAGGTGGTTCCCACTCAGTTGAGTATTTCAGAGGCACAGTGACAAGCGCTGTTGCTTTTTAAAAACCAGGAGTGAACAGAGTGGAGCGCACTGAAATGCTGCTTCAACCACAGCGTGTGATACCCTGCTCGCAATTTCACATAGGCATCTAAACCGACAGGTTCCCAGGGATGTAAAAAGCTGCCTTTTACTGCATTAACTGTTAAGGTGTAAACCCAGAGAGAGCTGTATCCTGCATGACAATTTCCCACTTGAAAGAACAAAATGTTTCATGCAGAGTCATAGAACTGCAGTCCTGGAAGGGACCCAGTGGCATCGAAGTTGTTGAAGGAAGGAACAAGTTCATGTGACAGATTTGCAGTCCCAAGTAACTAAGTCTTGTAACTAAGCCATACTGAGCTCATCAAAATGCTTTCTGTCATGTAAATATTTCTAAAGAAAATACGCTTTATTTTAAATACACTGAACAGGTACACATGGACAGGTGGATGTGGTGCCCTACATCTTGCCAGCTGGCAGAGCACCTTCCTCCCAACAACCAGAACATCTACTTTAATGGTTGATACATTGTGTCAACTTGAGAAGTCTAGAAGCTTAACTAAGTGACTCTGCAGTTCTACATCCTAGGCCACCCTGGAGGACATGCCCTTACCACTCTAGGATGTTGTTCATTGTGTCAATTTGAGCAGTTTAGAAGTTTAAGTAACTCAGCAGGGGGCCAGGATCCTCACTTTGTAAACATCTTCAGCCTATGCATGAGGAGGGCCCAGAGATAGTGTGAGTGCTACACCCTCCTGGGGGCGGGCAGGTAGCCTGCTTACCATATAAGGGAGGGAAAGAGGCTTGCTCTCCTCCCTTTTTGCTCTTCCTGCTTCTGCTGTCTTCTGCCACCTTGAGCTGTTGCCCCTCACCATGCCACCCCACCTTGGAGCGAGCTGATTACAGACTGAAGCCTCCACACACTGTGAGCTAAGTAAACCTTTCCTTCCTTAACTTTGGGTGTGAGGTATTTTGTCTCAGCAGTGAGAAGAAAGTAACTAGGACACCTACTCTTAACTTACACAAGATTCGCCATTAGCTTTGTGTTTGGGTGCGCAAAACATGCAGGTACAGAGTACACAGGGTACTGGTGAACCAGGTCAAGCACAGGATGTGTTTAAAGTCTGTTCTCACTGGCAGCCGTGTAACACACACACCCACTGCTAGAGGGAACGAACTCTGAATTAAATTAGCAAATGAAACATGACCTACATCCACAAAGGCAAACCCACAGAGAGTTGTTTAAAGTGAAAACTGCTAGTTACATATGTCACAAACATCCAAAGAAAACACTCCAACAATTATTTTAATTTCATATCAAACAGCTGAACCCTAAAGAACATCTTAGTATAAATGAAGGATAGGTAACTAAAGGGCAAGCAGGTACAAGATATAGAAGCAGAGGGGAGAAACTGAAGACCTCTAAGAGGCAAAACTAAAGAAGATAGTGATTGATCAGCAACTTAGCCTGCAAGTTCCCGCACCCTGAGGCAGACCAACCCTTAAACCTTGCAGCATAGGTCCAGGGAAGACCCCAAGCATCTGGGGATACTCACGGCTGCCGTCGAGGAGGGCCAACGTCAAAGGCAGAGTGAGCTCTTGTGCTTGTGGATAAACAACAGCTACGGGTGGCAGGTTGTCTCTTCCAGCTGTGTGACAGAAAAAAGGACAGTGGCTAAGCCCAGGCCGTGTACCTCTGTCAATAACTAAGCAGATCATTTGCTTTCTGCAGAACGATTACGAACATCCTGTCAAGGAGTCTATCCCACAGGCCTGGACTCTGGAAACCCTTTGCTTCCTGCCAATGATCCAAGGGTGACTTTGGGCTCACCTTTCTGTGTAAGACCAGGAAAAGGAGATTCGATGACAGCCTCAGCTCCTGTGACGAGCTGGGTCTCCAATCTTTGACTGAAGGTGCCCACAGCCACCACCATGCTTCACATTGATGATAACCAGGCTGAATGTGCGAGGGGACAGCCACTGTCCCCCCAGGTAAAGGTAGGAAGGACCCAGCTCTGAGGAGGCACAGGGTCAGTGCACAGGCTGAGCCTCCAAGGGTAGCAGAGATGGGAGGGCGGCTCATGTCACGGCCCAGTGTGCAGGCCTCAAACCTGCCATGCAGCCAGGGCTGTGCCCACTGCAGCCTGTTCCTAATTCACATGAACTCACTGATCTGCGGGCAGTGATGGGCTGCAAAGCCCATGGTGGCCCACATGACTATGTGTGAAATTCTCATGCTCTTAAACTGAATCAAGAGGCCAGACTAAGCATCAGGCAAAGAAGGCTAAGGTATAATTGGTCACCACCCAGTTCAGCAAGCAGCTACCTTGTAGACTAGAATAGCCATGTTAAACAAGTACCAGGCATTATACAGAAAGTAGGAAAAAAAAATAAAAAATATGACCCTTCCATGTTTTCTCTACAGTGGAACCTAAGATAAAAATGAAATATATTAACTGTGTCATTCAGATGCCAAAAGTTAAGATCACCTGAGCAACAAGAAACTGTTCTCTCACTAACTCACCGGGCTTAACAGTGACGTTGACAAATCCTTCTCCAAAGGCGTTGTCACTAGAAACGGTGACTTTGAAGGCATAAACTCCTGCTGACAACTGCAACCCAGGGAAAAATTACTCAGGTGAGTGTGCAAAAGACATGGTAGACCTCATACCCAGAAGCCTCAATTCCCACATCAGCACAACAAGGGCTCAGGAAAAAGTCCTGTTTACAGCTGTCTATGGGCTGCCACATGTTTGAGGCCTTCACACCAGAACACTAAAGGTCACTGAGACAGGCCACGCCTTAGCTTAGTGACAGATATTTTAGTAGTTCCCATATGGTCACAAACATATATAGAGGCCAAGTCTGCTTTTGTTTTTGTTTTGTTTTGTTTTCAGTTCTGGAGATCAAACCCAGGGCCTTGCAATTGCTAGGCAAGTGCTCTACCACTGAGCTACTTCCCCAACCTGGAATCATACATTTCTGCTCCACAGCTCTGGTAAGCTGGTCAGCAGCACACTCTGACAATAGCAGCCCAGTGACATGGGGAGTCTCAGGAGAAGAAGACAGCGTAGTCATTGGATAGGAAACCAGGGCTCAAGCAGCAGGGCCTGTTTATTTCTCTGTATGGGCCAGGAAGAGGGTATGTTTCTTCTTATGAGGTACTTTTCTCTGGGAGCAGCATCTGGCCACCAAAGCACAGGTAAACTGGAATGGAATTGTGGGCAACTTTGAGAAATATGCCTGACTGGAAAGAGAAATAAGCAGAATGTTGCTAATACTGCAAAGATCACAAGAACAGAGAGGGCTGGGCACCCAGCTAACTTGAATGAAGAAAAGCTATCCAAAAGCCTCTGTATTTAACCATCTGCCTGTCTACTTACATGCTTGCAACTTTATTTATGTCCTCCTGTCACTTCTTTTTGACACAGGGTCCCACTATGTTGTCAAACTGCCTCTAACTCCAGGGCTTCCTCCTGCCTCAGTTTTCCAAGTAGCTTGGACTGCAGGTACGCACTACCACACCCAGCTTCTTCTTTTGCTCTTAATCATAAGAGTGAATTCTGGGTTCAGCAGCTAAGAATGTTAACTGGATTCTGTGGTGTGCTGTCAAGTACAATGCACCCCAGGCACTTACACGAGACAGGTGAAGAGTCTGTGTGTTTCTTGGCTTGAGTTCATCTTGGTAGTCCACAGGGTGGCTTATCAAGCTCCATTCATAGTTGTAGGTTGTATCTGAGCGCAAATCAGAAATATGAGGAGTTACAATTCTGAGAGGCCACTTCATAGCCTGGGCAGAGGGAACGTAGATGGTAGCTTTACACTCAGCAGTACTGACGACCTTAAATGAGTGATGGCGAACCTTTTAGAGCTTTCAACAAAGAGATGGCTGTGGCATATGTACCACAGGTTCACCACCACTGCTTAGATCTACTAAATTCCCCTTTTGCCCACTACCCAAGTAGTGAATAAAAGTTCACATGTCTTTCTTTTTCTTTTTTTGGTACTGGGAATCGAACTCAGGACCTTGCGCTTGCCAGGCAGGCGCTTGTGCCGCTGAGCTATATCCCCGGCCCCCCACGTCTTTTTAAAGTAACATTTATTTTTATTCTAAAAACATACGACTAACACAAAATGTAGAAAATATGCAAACCCTCCCAAATCTCACTGTTAGCACTCAATGACTTCGTTTCCAGGGTGCTATACCTGACTATCCAAATAAGTTTAACAATATCACTGTAAAACTGTAATTCTTGTCCTTTTAATAAAAGGCAAAGAGACGTCAACTCACTCGATCTCTGTAGGGGCTTAAGGACACAGAAATAAATTAAGCATCTCTATGTTAAGCCAAAGCTGTCTCCCACCTTCAGGAAGTAGTAAATATGAGGTGCCTCATTTCAGATGATTAAAACGCAAAGTCAACTATTATCTCTGTTTACAAAATTTTGACCGATATGTGGTGTGATAAGGAGAAAGATGAATAAAGGAATGTGGCATATATACACAGCAAGGCATTATTCAGCCCAAAAACAAGGACAAAATGTTGTCATTTGTAGAAAAATGGATGGATATGGAAATTTTCATGTTGAACAAAATAAGTCAAACTTAGGCAAACGTCACTTGTAGACTCTAAAAAAGATGACAGGAAAGTATAAGGGAAACCATGATTAGACAAGACAGGAGGAAAGGGGAAGAAGTGGGGTGTCAGGGTGGGTAGTGGAGGGGGCAGGAATATAATCAAAATATATCATATACATTGAACAAAAAAAACACCTAAAAGGGGGGGAGGGTGAAGTATGTTGTATGCATGTACAAATCTGCCAAAATAAAACCCATTCATCTGCATAACCTATGTATATTAATAAAAAAATGTGAGGAAAAAAGGAGATATAGTCAAATATCTTCAGAGTGCACTTGACAGGCCACAGGGATAGGTCAGACAGTCACCGAACAGGAAAGCAGACAGGAAGAAAAGGCACTGTGGATGTGTCTTATTCTGATACCACACATCCACAAGACACCTGTGACGCGGGCCACCTCTCTGTCCTCCCACTGAAAACCTCAGGCTCTCTGGGTCACTGCACACTGGGACCTGGTCTGTGACAACCTCTCCTGGTCTAACAGAACACTACTTTGTAACACCAGAACTCACTGACTCTCCATCCTGACCAGTGTGAGGACATGCTCCACATTTAATTCCCTGGGCTCTCCCTCCTTTTAAAACTCTCAGTGAGCTTCAGTGCCCATGGTCATGAAGCCTTGTTTTCCACCCCAGATCCTTGGTTTGCAATGTCACCGAATGTTGTGGATATGATTCAGTATTAAAAAGAATCTGTAAAGACAGTGCTGGAAGACACCCCAGCCCTACAGACTCTGGCAGTCCCCAAGGGAAGGCAAGCTCTGACCTGCAGGGGGCGCTGGCACAACCAACGCCTTCAGCTCCACGGAGTCATGGGGTAAGGTGAGAAAGAGGTTATCTCCAGCAGACACCAACAGCAACTGGGCTACAGGTGAATCAAAGCAACACATGCCATTAGGTAATGCGGTGGTTTATCTCCTGTCCCACAGCAGATCTGTTTTAGGAATGTACAAAACATGCAACTGTATGTTTTTGTAATCATTCTTCGTATCATTTTATCTGCGACACTTCTGCCTCTGGTTGGTAGCTGAGCGTGCCCTATACTGTGCTGCAAGAGACTCTGTACCTTTAAACCATCAACAGGAGCTGCCTCTGAGAAGACAGTGAGGGCTCAAACTGTGTGGGGCAATGAGAGTTTCACAAAACAGGAAGGCACTACGGATTGGATGTATTCTCTCTCGCTACCAGATTTCCTCCTTCTTTATCTATTTTTTGGTAGTACCAGGGATTGAACCCAGGGCCTTCACACTGAGATGCATCCCCAACCCTTTTTTATTTTAATTAATTAATTTTTAAAGACATGATCTCACTAAGTCACTAAGTTACCCAACTTACGTAGGCTCCAACTTACGGTCCTCATACCTTTAGCCTTCCAGAGGGCTGGGATCACAAGTATACACCACCACACCCAGCTATGTGCCCTCCTTAGCTATAAAAAGACTGAGTATTGTCGTTAGTGTTTCTGTGTCATTAGTCACACACCACTCAGTTCTGACGGTAACCTCATGAATGACTGCTAATGGGCTTACTCTTACAAGCTTTCCAGGAGAAAATCCAGAGGACATCAACGTGGAAAGGCTATTCTAACTCAAGCAGAAGGTTGCTGATGACATCAAAAGCACTCATCCACTAACTCAGCATAGGGAACAATGCTTTATAATGAGGATTATACCGTACAGTCATACTATGGGTCTAAAGGCTTGGCTCAAGCAGACATTAGTTTCACTTGTAAAACTACCAACATCTCAGGTATAGAAAAGCAAAGATTTTTTTAAAAAATCAACAACAAAGCTGAGTGATCTCCAGGAGCCTGAGAAGCATGGTGCTACTGGAGGCACAGTTTCTCCAGCAAACTCGCCTCACCCATGACCTCAGCCTGCCAGTGTCCCCGGGTCAGCGGCAGAGGAGCTCGGGTGCTCCTCCCTCCCGTCATCCTGACTCAGGCCCTGAAAGTCAGCAGTGCTGACCGAGAAAGGAAAGAAACTGAGCCCTGGAGAGGCAAAGTAAGTTGTCCGAGGCTATATGGACAGTTAAGAGTAGGCGCACCAGTACTTAATTTAAATGCATTTATTTCAATGAACCCTTACAGTTCACACTGAACTGTGCCAGACACTGTTCCAAAGGCCTCAAAATAATGGGTTCGTCTGCTCCTCCTACCCTCACGCAGTGTGAGAAGCTGGAGTTGTCTGAAAAACACTCATCTATACGACAGATCCTGAAGACTATTTAGCCTCCACCTAGTAGGACATCATGACACTGGAGACAGAACGTGGTATGTTCAGAGCCAAAATTACCTTGGGCTGTCTTAGGCCCTCTAGAAAAATACCCAGTTACTTCAGTTTTTGTATCTGACTTACAGTCTCTTCAGTATGAGGTGAATCTCTTGGAATATGTGCCTAAACTTAAGCATACCTGTAGCCTCCTCCGATCCTAAGCTAACAATGCTACTACAAGACATCTGAGCCCACCAATGTGTTTGCTAAATGTGTTGACCTATGACTGTTCTTTGACTATAAAAGCTCGTGCAGCCTCTTTCTCAGAGGAACACATCATTCAAGGTAATGTGAATCTGGGTTTCTGGGCCACTCGTATTTGGCTGAGAATAAAATATTTTCTTACTTCCTTTATTTATTTTTAATTTCCTTTAAAGCAGAGTTGTCATTTCCTGCTGACCGCAGCTATTGACAGAACCCAAGGAACCTAATTCCAAGGCCAGTTTCTTTTTCCATACATTACAGAGCTTCCCTTCTACCATTATCCTTGTCTTTCCTGAAGCTCAGGATCAAAATAAATAAAAAGGAAAAATTAGGTAAGGCACTTAAAATGGGGTAGGGAGGGCACTGGTGATTAGATCTCAGACACATCCACAGCTGAACCTTTGAAATGGGCTGCAGCCACCCCGACCCCGGATGTGAGTTAAACCCTGGCAGTCTTCAGACTGTATCTGAAGTACGACATCCCTCCTCATCCGTGACTCCTGCTCAAAGCCTGCGCACTGCTATGAGGTTTAACTTCCAGAAGGGTAATGTGTTTGTCTAAAAAATTATAGGAACACAGTTCTAAATATATTCCAATTCTACAGTGATCCCTAATCACTTAAACTTACCACAATGTTGGAATGGTTTCCTTACTGGAAAACCCCGAATCTACACACAAAACTCCCAAGATTTTCTCTTTCTTTTCTGGGGAATTCCTGTGTACTAATAACACAGCTGTGCTACAGTCTTAACATTTAGCTATGACTAAGTGATGTCAGCATTAGTTTGAAAGCCCTTCATCATCTTCCCATCAGTACATAAATCTGGGATGTTTTGTGCCCCATTTGTTTCTACATGACATATCCATCTTGAATTTTCAAAGCAAAAGTGTCAAAATTTGACATAGAATTTTTCTACTTTTAAATGTTTACATCTGCAATTGACAATCGTGGAAACTTAATAGAGGAATCGGTGACACCAGAAAATCATGACTAAAATTTAATAAGTATTTTATCATAGGTGACAGAAAGAAGACTTTCTGTGATTGCCCTATTGTAACAATCTTCAAAGCATCCTTCCTAATATAAGCCAAGGTTTTATTTCTAAAGCAGATTTAAAGTAAGTTCGTATCATGTGACTTGAGTAAATATACTTTTCATTATGTTTGTCCTAAGGAAAAAAAAAAAAAAAAAAGAATTACAGGAACAAGGCCCAGAAGGTGAAGGCCCATTATGATGTTCCAGCCAGAGGGGAAAGAAGGGGACACGCAAGCTTTGGAAGACAACCTCACTAAGCACACAGTCTTCCTGCCCACTGCCCGTGTACCTCCTTTCTCTCCCTATAGAAGCTCTTTTACACTCCTTAGCTCCCTCAGACGGTCTCATGGGGGGTGGGGGGGTCGATAGGTCCCCTCCCATAGCCTCACAATGCCAGCCCTTGAGTAAACCTGATTTCCTTCCAACTTTCACCTCCAAGCATCGGCTCCTGAGTGGTGAGCAGATGGACCAGGGTCCAGTAATACTATCCACAGGAAAGCTTAGAAAACATGATCTTGTGTAATCTAATAACTTAGATTACACAACTAGAAAATCTAATTAAAGCTTTTCATTTCTCACCTCTATGTAGAGAGAGCTGTGTATGAGCCTATGTAATGAAGGGCACTCGGACCAATCTTTTCTCTTTGGAACTATACAGAACCAAATTATGTCACTCTAAAATATGACTTCAGGAGACACACTGCTACCACAAATAGGCCTTATGGCATAAGGATTATTTTGAGCTGATTTTTGTTTTGTTTTGTTTGTGGTACTGGGGATTGAACCCAGGGCCTTCACAGTTTCTAGTTTGTCTTTTGAGAGAGGGTCTCACCAACTCACCAAGTTTTCCAGGTTGGGCTCAAACTTGTGATCCTCCTGCCTCAGCTTTCCAGAGTGCTGGGACTGCCACTTCAATATAGGCTTTTAATGAGTCTTACTACCTCTGGTCAACTCCATGCTATTTTCCTCATACAAATCTGTTCATTTTGTTTTCCTGCTTAAGATCATTCAGGTATTCTCTATACTTATCCAATAAAACACATATTCCTTAGCACAAGATACACAAGATACATGACTTTTCAGAATCTTGCCCAGCTAAGTTCATACGCTGCGCTTCCCTTTACACTCACATGACCAGTTCTGGGCATAACGGCCTCCTTCCAGGTCACCTAGAATGTCACAGGAGCTCTTTAACGTCTGTTGTCTTGCACAGGCAATGAATGGGAGGCAGGGGATAAAAACAACCCCTGTAAGACTGGTGTCCTGACAGGATGAGAGGCCTTAAGAGCTGCTCCGGATTCAAGGTCCTGCTCATCTCCCTCAGTTTCTCTCCCTCCCCAGGCAAGGGAAGCATCATATCGTCCATGTACCTGTCAGTCTCCTGTCCTGGGCCTTCGAGGCACTGAGGGAAAGACAATGCCTGGCTCATCTTTTATGCCCAGGACACAGCATGTTTCTGGCATAAGGCAGATGCCCAGAAGTTACCTGTCTTGGGAGATACAGAGTGCTCAGAAGGGGAGCCCCCAGGGGAGTCAGTGACGGTGGGAAGTGTTGGGGTGCTGAGCCCTGGGCTCCACTCGGTGACGGTGAGAATTGAGCTTTTCTCCACCATGGCTGGGGTGAACTCCAGGCTGTCAGGAGGACTTTGAGAAGGCATCAGAACCTATGAGGTCAATTACAGGGATAAACTGTTATGGAAAAAAAGCAATGACCTCTTCGAGCAACATACAAATAAATAAATAAATAATTTTTAAAAATTAAAAATAAATAAATAAGAGTAAAATGTGAAAAACCATGATTAATACTGCGAAGCCCTGGAACTAGACCCTACATATTCTCTCTGCCAAGCGGGTGTGGTGGTGCACACCTGTAATCCCAGCACTCCAGGGGTTGCAGCAGGAGGATTGCTGCAAGTTTGAGGCCAGCATAGGCTACACAGTGAGTTCAAGGCCAGCTGGAAGTATATAGCAAGACCCTGTCTCAACTCAACCCAAAATTCTCTCTGCCATGTATTAAAAATATAAGGCAACTGTGGACTGGACTAGTACAAGTGAACACATATTTCAAAATGAAGAAAAAATAATTGTAGTGGCCCCTGAACTAATCAGTGCAATGGGCTGAAACTTTGTGTTACCCCCCAAATTCACCTGTAGAAGTCCTAACCCTCACTTGGGGGGCCCCTCACCAATGGCATCAGTGCCCTTATGTGCAGAGGCCTGAGGGCTGCCAGTGCCCCTATCTCCAGAGGACACAGCAGCTGATGACTTCCTGCAAAACCAAGAGGCGGGCACTCACCAGGAACCTGGCCCTGCGGCACCCTAATCACAGACTTCTAGCCTATGAGGCACCATTTGAAGTTACTCAAGTTAAGGTTTTAAATTAAATACTATGTGTTGGAGGGAAAGTTGTACAATATGTTCATAAAGTACTCTTCCAAGCCTCAATAGCCAGTGACTGGGTTGGGCCAGACAGGGAAACTCTTAAGAGACTAAAAATACATGAGCCCACTAAGGACATAAATAGCGAGGAACCCAGAGAAAGCAAAGCTGCAATGTAAACTGGCGAGGCACCACTGGTGTTTATGGAAAACACAGCTCTTTTTCTCTGTGGCTGAGAAGACTGAAGGTGCCAAGTATGACGGGCACTTTTTCTGCAGCTGGACAGATACCACTGCTAACATGAACCAGAAAGCCTCGGCGCTGCAGGGAGTTACTAGGCAGCTGACGAAACCTCCTGCAACAAAATTCCGGGAACCAAGATATGAAAAGAGACAAAGGTTTACAATTAAGGCCCATTGATCAAACTAGAGAAATCAACTGACCAAGAGGCTAGGTCTGCTGCAGCTTTAAACTGATCGATTTCATGGAGCTTTGGGGCATACGATTTGTGAAGGGAGCTCTAGCAGATGAGTCTGCTCATTAGGCCTCCGCTCGCTAGAAGAGAAGGAACTTCAGAACTGCTGCTGGCCGGGCTGCAGAGGAAGTATGTAGAGAACATCACTGTGAGGCCTCTCAAAGTCCCTCGGGTGAGCTGGACTTCTATTCCCCCCAGTGTGTCGTACCTGAAAAATCACCTTCAAGTTGAAATAAAGAATAAAGAAGCTGCAGTGCAGCTCTGTGTAGAGCAGCTGCCTAGCATGTACAAGGCGTAGGTTCTGTTTCCAGCCCACAGCAAACACATGCACAAAAGAATGGAAGTCCATAGGAAATCAAGGCATAGGAAAGTCCAGGAAAATCAAGGCAGCGTGGGTCAGGGTCACAAAACCACCAGGAAATGGCTGAGAGCGCAGAAAACTGTACCCTACTCCCTTCTACAACTATTTTGTTTTTGTTGGTACCAGGAATCGAACTCACAATCTCACGCTTGCCAGGCAGGCACTGTGCCGCTGAGCTAAATCCCCAGCTCCCTACTCCCTTCTAAGACATCTGCTTTCCCAAACACTGAGTCTCTAATTCTTAGCTCCGCTGTCAGGCCATCTGTCCAGAACTCTGTGCTTCATTACTTGGGTGCAGGCGCTTTAGGACACGGGCCAGGAAAGGAAACATTCTCTGCATGCTCCACTGAGCACCGCAGTTCCCCACGCCAGCCGTGTGCTAGGCTGAGCCCAGTCAACAAAAGACTCAAATGGCTCTTCCTGTCCTTTCTCTGCTCTTGAACAACCCATTTTACGTAGAGCTGCCTTGTCCTGTTCCCCGGCAAATACAGGGGCAAAAAATGTTCTTTATCCTGTACAAGCAATTTATCTTTCTTAGATGTCCTGTTTCATGGCACCATTACTTGAATAATGCTGCTGTGAACATTCCTGTAACAGCTTTGGTACGGACAGATGTTTTTATTTCTCTAGAGTAAATGCCTACAGGTGGAGTTGCTGGGTCACTCAGTAACTACACGTAAAATTTTGAGCTAGAAGACCATGTCGCAGTGCGGCTGTACCACTGTACATTCCCACTAGCAGAGGGTGAGGGTTCTGATTTCTCTGTACTCTTAACACATACTTGTTTTTTGATTTTTATTTTTAGTTTTTGGGGTGCTGAGGAAACCCGGGACTCATACATGCAAGGCTAGTACTGAACCACATCTCCTTTCCTACTTCTTGTTTCTATTTATGATGACGATGATGATGATAATGATGATAATTATGATGATGTGTGTGTGTGGTACTGGAGCTCAAATTCAGGGGCACTCCACTACTGAGCTACATCTCCAGCTCTTTTTGTTTTTGAGACTGGGTCTCACTAAGTTGCTCTACTACTGGAGGACATTCCCAGGCCTCTCCCCTTTTTTGAGTCAAGGTTTCGCTGTTGCCCAGGCTGGCCTTGAACCCTCTCCCAGACTCAAGCCGTCCTCCTGCCTCAGCCTCCAAGTAGTTGGGACTGGAGGTGCACAGCACAGGCGTGCCTTCCATTCTCTTTCCACCTGACCTTCGTAAAGCTTGCATTCCTTCCTTAGGATCTCAGCCCTCCTACAAATTGGGCCTGAGTTTCCAGTCACCTGAAGCACCTGCTTGGTCAATATCCAAGGCCTCTGGATCCTTGAGCTGTGTTCACCTCCTCTGGGGTTGGCAGAGGCCCGTGACCCACAGCTGTCTATGCTGGGGAGGGAAGTGTCATCCTGAACACTCACCTGTGCCCCAGGGCTGCTGAGGGATGGTGCCTGGGGCTGAGAAGCCTCGTCTTTGTCTGGGGCCTGTCCAGGGGATGTGGACAGAGCAGCTGCAGAGGAGAACGGAGAGGGTATGGAGGCGGTGGGCCAAGCAGCCTCGCTCAGCGTGGGGCGCTGTGGGGTGTGAGGACTGAGCTCAGGGTCCTGTGGCCTCTCTTCTGTGGATCCTGAGGCCACTGGACCATCCACTGGGGATGCAGATGCCTTGGGACTGTCCCTAGGTGATCCCAGGCGGTCCCCCACAGATTCTGAGGCTGAGGCACTGTCCCCCGCAAATGCTGGGCCGTCCCCTGTGGGTGCTGGCTGGTCCCCTGCAGATACCGAGGCCAAGGGACTGTCCTCCGTGGATGCTGGGTGGTCCCCCACAGATGCCGAGGCTGAGGGGCCATCCCCTAAGGAGGTGTTGGTGTCACCTGCACCCCAGCCAGAGTCCTGGGCATCCCCCCTGAGGCTGGGCAGTCTGGTGGGCAGGAGGCCCGGCTCCAGCCCTCTGTAGTCATCATCGGTGTAGTCTGCAGGCCCCTCCAGGCCCCCACCTCTGCCAAGAAAGGGCAGATCCTTGTGGGGGTCCTCAGGGGAGTCCCCCCAGGCTCCCAACGGCACACCCTTGCTCAGCATCATCTCCCCGTAGTCCAGCAGCTGCGCCGGCCTCTGGGCTGGGGGCCGCAGCACAAAGGTGAGGTAGGAGCGGATGGGCCCCGTCCTCTTGGGCACGCAGCTCTCCTTCTGCGGGCAGCTCACCAGGTGGCAGTGCCCCTCGAACCACCAGGCCAAGTCACAGCTGGGCAGGTCGCAGCAGGCAGCCGTGCAGTCCCCCACTGAGAAGGTCTGAGGCACAGGCATGATTCTGATGGTCTCCAGGTCCGGGGAGATGATGGCATTGGAATAGGTCCTGCCCTCACTGCAGGGCTGAGCCACACAACCTGGAAACGAGGTGGGCAATGTGTGATGAGGACGAGGCCCCTGGCAGGGAGCAGCCAAAGAACAAGAATTCATCCACTTCCTCCAGCACTGCAAACAAAAATCTATTGGCATTTCCTATGATGGGCCATTCACCAAACCACCCAGCCATCCATGGATCCTCCCCTCCTACCTTCCGCCCACTCAGCCATCCAGCCATCCTTCCCTTCATTTATCCCTGTCCTTCCACCTATAACCATAGATCCTTCTCCCATCCAAACACTGTGCCAGGCATTTCACCCACTTAGGTAATAGAAACATTGCTCTCTGTATGCATATTGTTTTTATACCCTTTATAATACTTTGCTCCTTGCACCAAATTCAGTTACAAAGGGTTATTTGAGGTGGGGGGCAACATCAAGTCTTTGGGTTATTCTTGTTTTTCATCTCACAGGCTGTTCTTATAATAGATCAGTTGAAAGTGAAAGAGCAAAAAAGAAAGCAAGTGTCTTCAATGCGTATCAGTAACCAACTAGTTCTAGTTAAATTATAAATAAGAATTGTACACATTTCTAGTTAGTAAGTATGGTAGGCTATACAGCCCATTACATGATGTAGGGTCCATACTAGAACAGGCCACAGTCACTGCAAAACTTGAGGAAACCTCTGTGGTAATTATCATTGCCTGAAACTCAAGCACAGAGCCACTTTTCTTGTATTCTTGTTTGTCTGGTGTTTTACAAAAGAATCAGCCTGTGACAGGATGGAGAAAAAAAAATCAGTCTTTCACCACATATAACTTGAGAAACACTGCATTAAGGTTTTACAGCACAACTCAGAAAGCCAAGAGATTTCTTTCCTAGAGGGGGTTCCCACTGATAACTGCTACTTTGTGACAGGAGAGGATGTTAGAGATTGTTTTTAACTGTACATATATGGAAATGGCTATATGCAACACAGGAATCATCCTTATGTTTACCTTTCCACATCATTCTTGTAATGAAGCCAGAAGACAGAGGAAGTTAGGCAGACAGGCTATAGGTCCTGAATAGTTAACCTGAAGTAAACTAAAAGTCTTAAGTGAGTTAACACACCAGAGGGTTCATTAATTAATTTAAGCAAACTGACTATCAGGGCCTAATGGAATGCAAGGACCCTAAACAGATGGTAGAAGTCCTGGAGGAATGGAGTGCAAATGAAGAGGCTTGCTTTCCAGATATCAAAGGCCCACCTGCAACCAGAAGCATCCCTGCTTTCTGTCAAGTTCATCCTTACCAAAAACTATAAAAAGCCAAGGGACTTAAACATCTACAAAGTCCACTCTAAGGAACCCCTCCCTGATGTGCAGGGAGCTTTTCCTTTTATTCTTTCTATAAACATCGCTTGCTGTGTGCTGTTTTGTTGGCTTCAATCTTTTTTTGCCCCAAAACAAGGACGCAGATCACAGTACAGAAGGGAACTGTTTACAGTAATGGGTAAGTTTTTGGATAAATCAATGCCAAACACTGACTCTGAAGAAAGACTATTTAGTCCTATTTATTTATCAGTGCTGGGGACAGAAGCCAGGGCCTGCATGTACCCAGCATATATTCCATACTGAGCTAGCCCACAGCCCTACTTAGTACAATTTAGTAAGAATCCAATACAATATGCATGCATCTTTTCCAATGAATGAGCTAGACTTTAAACTGAAATGACATCTTTAGTTCTTTTTTTTGAAAGGCAAATCTAGTTCTTAAGATCATCTGAAGAGGTTTAGGCTTTTATTTTCTAGACAACAGCTCAATCTTAAATGTGGAAAAAATAATACACTCTACCTGAACACAACAAAATAGCATCTCTTACCAAGCTAAGAGATGAGGAAGTGTGAAGAACGGGGTGATAGCTAATCTCCACCTCTTAACTCTCAGAAACACTGCATTATTTTTAGAAACAGCACTACATCTCTGGGTGGCCTTTCAATGAAGACTCAAGCTACAAATTTCTTCCAAACCTCAATGCCAAGATTCACTTTTGTTGCCCTGAGAAACAGTTCAGTCGTCTCCTTTTGGACAAAGCGTTTCAGAGAAACATTCCATTTCACCTCTGGACTCAGCCACCAGCAAGCCCAGGAAGCAACCTTAAAACTGTCTCATGAATCACTGTGGGGACAGGCTGTGGCCCTGGGGCAGGCACACGTCACAGGTGGCGATGTGGCTTTTCCATGGGGGAAGTCTTAACTCAAACTTTAGAGCAGTTTTCAGGCTGGCTGGAGGCAGAGCCCATGGGCACCTCTGGGGCAGATCACCCCTTTATTCTGCAATTAATCACTTGAATGGGGGCTGTTAGATACACAGTGATACCTTGGTTCATAAACTTAATTCATTCCACAATTCTGGGGAAGATGGCAATATTCATGTTCATGCAGGGAAGATGGCTGCAGTCGTGTTTGTTGCCTGATGTGGAGTTCGGAAGCACAAGCAAAATTCTGCTGAGCACTTCTGCTTGCAAACAGAATTGTTCATGAACAGAACCGTTCGTGAATTGGAGCATTACTTGCAAACGTAATTGTTCACGAACAGAACCATTCATGAACTGGAGCATTACTGTACAGACCTTAAGCAGAGATCTTAATGATAAGGAAGGAGGCTCCTAACAACTAAATCATCTTCTTTTGGGCCAAATTGCCATAACCACTTTAGAATCTATGAGACCTAACAGAGAAAGCTCTTGGATCACGAAACTCCTGGGAACCATGTTTGCATTGGTTAGCATTCAACAAAGGTAGAAAAGATAAAGAACAGTATTATGATTTGTGTCTGGGTGTCCCCCCAAAGCCCCATGCAGTCATGGGGCAGGCTTCTAGAGTTTATGATTGATCCACGGTCCTATGCTGGGATTATGGGTGTGAGTGCTTTTTCCGCCCTGGGGCGGGTAGTTTGCATACAGTGTAAGGGAGGGTAAAGTAACCAAGAGAAGCAGTAAATTGCAAATTATCATTAAGGGGACTCAGTAACTCAGGAATTGAAATTTTGAAGTAATGGACAATATTTCCAACAAAATGGACGAGAAGGAATGAAACAGTGGAAATTAGGGTTTTTTATGGATGTCTAAACATTAAGGATATCACCTGAAACATTAATGGCAATATTTTTGAGACTACACGTGAAATAAAGGACATTTTATCTTGCACGCTACACAGTGATGAGGGATGGGTGAGGTAGGGTAGGGCACAGTGGGGCTTTTCCAACTGCAGAACTTTCTAACATGGACCATGCTTCACCTTAAAACAGCGCTTCCCAAAGTTGGGGTGTTTCTGAATCATCCCCAGGGGCTGAGCCATGGCCGTGGGAGCGCTGGTACCGCAGGTGTAGATGGAGCTAACAGGGTCTCTGGGAGGTCAGATAGCCCTCGTTATGGCTTCACTGCATTTTGACAAACTCTGCACACAGAAACAGCTTCTCAACCCACGCCTCTACTCACAGTCACTGGTACACTCAAGCAGGCTCAGCTGGCAGGGACTGTGAGAATCGAGGTTCACAAGTGATTGGATGTTAACTGAGGGAGTTCACTATATGCAAAATGATATAATGAAAATAAAGGCTTAGGATAAAAGAGGATCTGACCTTCCTAGAAAAATCTACTCTGCAATTCTTTTCACCATTTAACAGCTTATCCCGAGCGCCACTCAGGCAGTGCATTTGAGTGCACTTGTTTACAGCCTGACTATCCCCAGCGTTGCTCAGGCGGGTGCCACTATAACCAATCAACTCTTGTCTACATGAGATACACTCGTACGTTTATTTGTTTTCCATCGAATACATTTTGCATACTTTGTTATTTAAAACACTGTATTCACCTTTGATGTTTGTTTCTAGTGAAATCTAATAATAAGTTCTGGTAATTTTCTTTTATTAATTCGTGCTTACTTGTGAAAAATAACCTGTAATTTTGTGCTACAATCTATAACAACTTCTTGTAAGTACATTAGGTATAATGTGTATACTTCTCCAGAATTCAGTGATATTCTATTACAATACAGAATGGACACATTTGGGGCACTGAGACTGGATAGAAAGGAAGTGCCAAAGAGGTGCAAAAGAAAAAAACTAAAACAGGGAGAAATGGGAGCATGCTTGAGAGAAGTCTGTGTTATGAAATGAAACGACAAAAAAGATGTCTCCTTCTTGTCAACTATTCATAATACAGACATGAAAGAACTTAAGTGAAGAAACAGAACTAAAACATTCCAACAGTGGTCAGTGATTATAATAATTCTATGGGTGGTGTTGACAGAGTTGACCAACAGCTAACAAGCTGTCCTGTAATCAAAAAGTGAGGAAAAATCTGATTATAAAATATTTATGCACCTTCTGGACCAAACAAGATGGAACTCATTTGTTATTTATTCAAAACAAGGGAGTTAAAAAAGTCATTTCCAACAAAAAAAAGTCATTTACAACTTAGATTAGATCTAATAGACCAAATAATTGAAAAACACAGGATAGCGAAATGCCAGCCAGGGTGTCCATCATCAATGTCTTCACCAGTACACTTAGTGGCGAGAGATTTTATTGAAATTGGGCCGGGGATATAGCTCAGTGGCATAAGCGCCTGCCTGGCAAGTGCAAGGTCCTGAGTTTGAAATTATACCACTTACAGAAAAAAAAGGAAAGGTTGACACAACAGTGTAAAGTGAGTTGTTCAAAGAAAGATAATAAGGAAAAAAGAATGCAGAAAGACTAGATTGCAATGTTGCATTGTGTATTGAATGTTTTAAGATATACCATACATTGGGGCTGGGGATTTAGCTCTG